GATGGCTACAATAGTCTAGATAGGAATTCAGTTCGTTATTATCTACTATTCCGAGCCCGTGACAATTAAAGCTTTCCTAAAACAACATTGAAAAAGCCCTCCAAGTCCTACCAATCTGTGACAGCCTGGTCACGTTGGCTGGGTATCACGTGAGGTGCAGTTGTTTGCTTTATTGCTTTGTTGATAAATACGGCGTTACCTCCTCTCTTCCTTCCTCATGTTGATTATTCTCGTCGATAGCTACCTAGGTAGACTCCATGAGTTGGATGTTCCATTATCCTAGTAGAGCGCCGTGACACAATTTAGCATTAAACCAGCTTATTAAAGGCTGCCAGCTTGCGATGCATAGCGCTGCGCTATTAACAAAGGAAGATGCTGATCTATGAACCATGAATGAGAAAAAGCGACAAAAAAGCACATGTTCAAATCAGCAGATATCACATGAAGATGGCTTGACTGTGGAAGAGGCCTTGCAGTTAATACAGCAGCTGATTCCACCAATTCAGCTGGTTCAACAACTCCCGGCTCAGCCAGCACAGCCAGTTCAACCGGCTACACAGATCTATGAATATAACGGCATTTTGGTTGAAAAAATCTGCTTCAAAAATATATAGTGGTGGCGGGTGGACCACTCGACGGTGAAATACGTTACTTAACTAACCAGTCTGTTATACCCTAATAACCTACAATGCTGGCGTGAATATGTCTATAACTTTACACCATGGTGAGTGCTTCCAAGACTAATACATAGCACATTATATTATGTATTTATTGGAAGTCACTTTTTCCTGGATGACGTGCTCGTTGCGGAATTTACAATACCTTTCTGAGTTTAACATCTCACTCTTCGAGCTTCCAGAGATCATTGAGCTCTAGACCTTGATATAGCGTAACGCTATAAGCTTCTAAGCAATAAAAAAGGGCAAATAAGGGCGACTGGTGTCGATATTACACCCAAAACAAGCATATATGTCGAGGATCAACTAGCCAAAACACTGTTATCATACCCCCAGGTTCCTCCGGCTATCAAGGAGTTTGGCATCTCCAGTCTAGGAAGCTTAGGTATTAGCTAACAGAGAAAAAGCCTGGAAAAAAAAAAAAAAAAATTCAGGGTTCTCAATACCTTTCGCTTCCGTGTATCCCAATCTCTCCCCGAAGTCACCAATGGTTACACCACACCCCACGATAGTCGATGGCAAAATCTTGCATTCAGAGGTAACCAATTTGGTGTCGTCTATCTCGGCATGGTCAAGGGACTGAGCCATGATAACCAATTATTTTGTCCATGGACTAAAATACAAGAGCCGCCTGATATTAGCTTGCCTAGTATTCGTGAAAGAGATCACAGACTCCCAGTAGAGTGGGCCTTTTTTTCACCGTGGATACGGGATCACCCAAGACACACCTAGGCCTTGAGGCTAGCATTCGTATTGCTAGGTCTATCAAGCCTTTCTAATGCACGATGAGTTGCCAATATACATCCACTCGCGGACATTTGGTCCGTACCGGTTACCAGTTCTCCAACATCTATCTCCTGGGACCTTATAACTACGAGTTTGCCGCGGAAGACGGGGCAAGTAAATAGAATGAACGCTTCATCTAGAATCCATGGTTGAACATCCTCCGCATTGAACGGTACGTCGCACTTCTCAGACATTATTCTGACTGGCCTTGACTATTGCAATGCTTTTTCTCTCGATTCTGGCAAGGTCAAGTTTGTGCTCGGCGGACATTAAGTAGGGGAAGGAAGTTAGGAACGTCGCATTATCAGGTTAAGACATATTTGTCTTACGCATCTTATGTTTATCAATACCTACATGGTGTTCGAGGAAACACGCGATCTCTAAGTGGCTTTGACTGGCGGTGATGGCGAGGGCTGATTTACTTTTATTGCTCCGTTTGTTGATTTGGATATTGTTCAACCGCTGTATAAGATGGCAATATAAGACGTGCTTTCTGTCCGTTCAGCCGTACTTAGCGGTTGTGGCATTTAGATCGACCCATAATGTTAGTGTCGTGCTCGTCAATGTTCAAGTCAATAACTTCACCATCTTCATTTCGGTGCTCTGCGAGAATTGGCGATTTTCAATCATGATGTTATTTATTTCTCCCCAAGGACAGCTTGCTCCTCGTCCCGGGAGCTCAGCGTCGTGTGGCACCACGCCCTAGTTACCAAAACCGGTAATTTGCACCTTTGCCTTAGGAACCAGACACATATTTCCCCATCAATTCTAGATCAATTGAAACATTCAAGGTCTAGTCTTATACAGTATCATGGTAAGCTAATAAATTGCTATAGTAGACAAATATACCCCCTCTGATTGGCCGTCGGCGTCTCGGCCTCCGACTCCGCGATTCTTCGCGGTTTGCAAGAATCATGCCATTTATTTGTATTCCTCCCACCGAGGATATTCCCAGGAATCAACAATCATGGCTTCCTTGGGGAGCTCAGCATCCTGGGCCCGGGGCTTTGCACCCCGGTTATTCAAGGATTTCTCCACCTGCTACCAATGCCTACGGACTCAGAACTATGCGACCAAATCCGCCTTTCCCAGACAATTCTCCGGCCTATCGTTCGCTCGGTCTGACCAGAGAACCAATCCTGCGATACTGAACTCGAAGACTAGACAATTTTTCTCTCAGAATCTGAGGAGATCTGTTTCGTCGTCTACAGTTGCCCACGCTGCGGAGGAAGGAGCGACAAAAGCGAAGTCGAGCTTTCCGCCGGTTAGCGACAAATCGGTTGCGTACTGGCTGCTGGGAAGTGCGGCCAGTGTTTTTGGTATTGTGGTTTTTGGTGGTTTGACTCGATTGACAGAATCAGGGTGCGTTTTGCATAAGGACTATTCTGGATATTGACATGGGCATGGCTAATCGAGTCGTTGCTACAGGTTAAGCATCACAGAATGGCGTCCTGTTACAGGCTCTCTCCCTCCCATGAACCACGAAGACTGGGAATCCGAATTCTCGAAATACCGCGAATCCCCCGAATTCAAGCTCCTGAACCCGCACATGACTCTTTCTGAATTCAAGTCGATCTACTACATGGAATGGATCCACCGCATCTGGGGCCGCTTCGTCGGTTTATCGTTTATCTTCCCCGCTCTCTACTTCGTCGCCAGAAAGAAAGTCAGCAAGCCCATGGCACTGCGTCTCGCTGGAATTGCCGGCTTGATTGGATTCCAAGGCTTCATTGGCTGGTGGATGGTCAAGTCAGGCTTGAAGGATGATCTGTTTGCTCCCGGTAGTCACCCTCGTGTGAGTCAGTACCGCCTGACGGCACACTTGGGTGCTGCGTTTGTCTGCTATGTTACTATGCTCTGGAATGGTCTTGCAATTCTGCGATCTCGTCGACTAATGGCTGATCCGGAGGTTGGAATCAAAACGCTCGATGCACTCCGCGACCCCCGGCTCAAGCTATTCCGTCGCTCGGTTGCTGGTCTCGCTCTTCTAGTCTTCACCACGGTTATCTCTGGTGCACTCGTTGCTGGTCTGGATGCTGGTCTTATCTACAACGAATTCCCGTACATGGGCAGTGGCTTCGCTCCCCCCACCTCCGAGCTGTTCAATGAACGATACTCCCGCCACGAAGACAGATCTGACCTCTGGTGGAGAAACATGCTCGAGAACCCCTCGCTTGTCCAGCTCGACCACCGCATCTTGGCAACCACCACCTTCACCACCATCATGGCCCTGTGGGCATACTCCCGCAAATCCCCCACGATGAAGAAACTTCTCCCACCGGCCGCGAGAAAAGGTGTGCACGGCGTCGTTGCGTTTGCCTTCATGCAGGTTGGTCTTGGTATCTCGACATTGCTCTACCTCGTTCCTATCCCTCTTGCTTCGGCACACCAGGCTGGTAGCTTGTTCCTGTTGACCTGGGTTATGGTGCTGGGAAGCCGGGTCTGGCACCCGTCAAGGACTGCGAAGTTGTTGCAGATGGCTGTCAAGGCTCGTGGTCAGCAGGTTTCACAGGCGGCTGCCCATGCGGCTAAGAAGTTATAACCAGTTGTCCGTCCGGCTCGTTCTCGTTATTTGTCACGAAAAGATATGGATGAGTATATGTCTGTAAATTAACTAGTGCCTCTCTTCTTCCTTGTAAAATATGATTCTTTTAAACTCGTTTTTCTTTACTCTATTTACAGTCATAATCATTGTGGCCCTGAGATGATCTATTCATAACATCCAAAAACTCCCAGACACCGTACCCAACAAGGAAAATAGGCCATCCCTCACAACAAACCACAACCCAACAAACCACCCTCAAAACGGCCAAACCTCCCCCTATCATTTTCCACAACCTCTCTCCTCCTAAACTCCTCCACAGCCCTAGCTGCCTGGTTCTGCGCATATCCATGAAGATCTCCCAGTCCAAACGTCTGATAGTACCACCTCCTCACTGGGTCCTTCTCTCGCTCCTCTTGTATCCATGCCCCGTGCGCCTCGAGGCTGAAGGCATACAAGTTCCTAGCGCAAGATAGGTCCTTGTCTGTCTCGGCTTCGACATCGTCGACGTCGGTTGTAGTGGACGGGGAGAAGGTTGAGTTGTCGAGAAGAAGTGCAGAATCAGACTGGCGATCATTAGAGTCCGTGGAAAGAGAAAGAGGAGGAGAGATGATGGCGCGTGGGGTGGGACTGATGCTGGGACTGGGAGTGCGAGCCGTATAAGCACCCTGTCTCTGGCCTCTCTGGGTCCGGGCCTGGGATTGTGTGCGGGGTGTCTGCGCTGGTTCCCGTCCGCGTCCACTCCTGCATCTCACCGAGCCCTTCTGGTTTTTGGTAACCTTGCTGCTACATTTCCCCCTCTTCTTTTTATCTTTTGGCGAGGTCTTCGACTGGAAAAGCTCGTTTTGGTGAATCGGACCGGTATGCACACGGCTTCCTGCGTTGTGCGTTCTGGTACAGCCATTCTTAATAGTGCAGGTATGACAGGATTGCCAGCCGCATGATGAACATCGGGACATGCCCGAGTCGTTTCTGGCGTTGCACAGGTCGCACTTTGCCGTGTGCGCCGTGACCTGTTCGAATTGCGTGCGGATTAGAGACGGCTGGGGCTGGGCGGTTGTGGTGGCAGCCGCAGCAGGAAGAGCTGCAGGAAGAGCAGATGGAAAGCGAGAACCACGGTTTCTAGACATGGCGGCCTGCTGAGACTCGGCGTTTCTCAATGGGAAAGACTCACTGCCACTTGAATATTCAATGGGAGAAGCTTCCTGTCCATAGTCTCGAACAAACGGTATATCAGAAGAGCCCTTAGCCGTTCGTAGCGGCAGCTATTCCATCTCAACGTCAGCAAGACGACAACCTCTTCACTATCAGCAGGGAGGAGACTAACATTCTCAAGCAACTGAGGCGCTGGATACGACGAAGAACGAGAACCAGGAGGAGTAGGGAAAGGCAAGAAACGAAAATCCTTAAAACAGTTCCCCTGGTGATTGTCTGTTTGGTCCGCCATCGTGGGTCAGGCAGTATACACTACCATTGATGGGGTGCCAATTAGTCCTGCCTCAAGAGATTAGGGTACCGGAGATATCGCTGTTAGGAGGGTATATGAAGTAAAGTCCGTAAGATGCAACGATAGTAAATAGCAAGAGAAAGAGAAGTAGAGGAGAGAAAAATGCTTTTTTTTTTTTTTTTTATATAGCTAAATGCTAAAGATCTAACCAGCGGAAACAAAAGCATTCAAGGAGTTTTCCTTCTCCATTCCGTTGGAAACTACGGGTTAATTGAACTTTGTTGTCTATTGTCTCAGTCAGTATACAAAGTACTTTGTTTATTGCCTTCTTGCTTAGACAAGTAGTGAGAGATCGTAGGTAGGACATATCGCTGAGGCATGGATATGGGGAGAGTTCATTTAATTGGATAGAGAAAGCATCGTACAATGGATTGAATGGTAGTCTTATTGCTGGGAAATGATGATAAGGTTGGATGCAATTATTGAAGGGTATTCCAATTTCAAAAGGTAAGCTAAAGGATTTCTTTTATTCCCCTAATGCATCTATTCATTGCCATCCTAACATAAACCCATAATAAACAGTCATCAAAAGCATTCAACATCCCTCGTCCAGTTTCGTAGAATTTATTTGTGGGCTATATCTTGTTAGTTCAATTGTATTTATCAAAGCGTGCGGTGTAACTTACCAATGCCCTCTTCCGGCTTGGGCTCAATACCAACAACCTCAGCAGCAGTCTTGGTGTCTTGGGCGGTCTTGTCCTCCTTCATGAAGGGGAAAGCAAGAACCTCCTTGATACTGTAGTTGTTGGTAAGGAACATGACCAAACGGTCAATACCCATACCCCATCCACCGGTCGGCGGCAGACCGTATTCCAGAGAAGTACAGAAGTTCTCGTCGATGAGCTGGGCCTCCTCGTCACCCTGGTCCTTCTGGTTTGCCTGCTCCTCGAAACGCAGACGCTGGTCGAAGGGATCGTTCAACTCAGTGTAGGCGTTGACAATCTCCTTCTTGCAGACGAAGGCCTCGAAACGCTCGCACAGACCGGCGTGCTGGCGGTGGTACTTAGCCAGCGGCGACATCATCTGCGGGTGGCCGGTGATGAAGGTAGGATTGACACAGGTCTCTTCGATGAACTCGCCGACGAGCTTGTCGAGCATACGGGCGTTGGTGAGCGGTGGCGAGCAGTCGACACCGGTCTTCTTCAGGACGCGCTTGAGGAACTCGTTGGTCTCAGTGGTGTGCAGCTGGTCACCTGGCGGGAACTTCTCGCCGGTGGCCTCTTCGAGGGCGGGGATCATCTCCACGCGCCTCCAGGGCGCCTTCCAGTTGACGTTGTAGGTCTCGCCGGTCTGGGTGTGGAAGGTGGTCTCGTAGCCGCCGGTGACATGCTTGACAAGACCGGAAACAAGGTCTTCGGTGGTGTTCATGAGGTCGAAAGCATCAGCGTAGGCCTGGTAGAACTCGCAGGTGGTGAACTCGGGGTTGTGGGTAAGGTCAATGCCTTCGTTACGGAACTGGCGACCCATTTCGTACACACGCTCAAGACCACCGACGATCAGCATCTTAAGGTACAGCTCAGGAGCAATACGCATGAAAAGGTTCATGTCGAGCTCGTTGTGGTGAGTAACGAAGGGTTTGGCAGTCGCACCGCCAGCAATGGCGTTCATCATGGGAGTCTCCACCTCAATAAAGTCGCGGGTGTCGAAGTAGTTGCGGATGTAGCTAACAATCTTAGACCGAGTGACGAAAACATTGCGCGAGCGGTCATTCATGATCAAGTCGAGGTAACGTTGGCGGAAACGCTGCTCCTTGTCCTGCAGACCGTAGTGCTCAGAGGGAATGGCGTGCAAGCAAGGCGACAGAAGGACAACCTCAGTCGCAAAAATCGAAAGCTCTCCATCGGCTCTGTTCTTGGGGCTAGTCCGACCGGGGAATCCAACAATACCGACAATGTCTCCTCTCCGGAGGTGCTCGTGCTGCTGCTCGAACGGGACCTCGCCAGTGGCGTGCTGACCCTGGCACACAACTTGCACCTTGACACCCTCGGCGCGAATGTCGTAGAAGCTCAGCTTGGCGCCCGAGCTGCGCTTGGTGTAGATACGACCGGCGATGCGAACGGTGGTTTCGGGCTTCTGGTCGCCCTTCTCAAGACCCTCGTAGGTCTTGAGGAACTGGCGCAGGTCATCGGTGACATTGAACTTGTGAGGGTAGGGGTCGGGGTGCTTGGTTTCGCGGAGCTTGTTGATTCTCTTGCTGCGGATTTCAAAGTATTGCTATAGCGATAAGATGCCTTTATTAGTAAAAAGTTCAGAGAGAAACCAATCCCGCACAAAACAAAAGCACTCACATTGGGAGTCAAATTAGCCTCCTCCTCCTCAGCGGAAGCCTTCTTCTGAGTCTTAGGAGGAGCAGCAGCCTCCTTCTCCTTCTTTTTGGCTTCCTTCTCGCGCAGCTTCTGGCGCTTCTTCAGCTCGGTCTTGGAGACCTTCTCGCCAGTAACCTCGTCGAGCAAGAGGTTGGCCATGGAGGCCTCGGCGTCCTTAACTCCGTTGTCCGTCATGATTAATTAGAATATGTTTCGCAAAACAAAAGAAGGAAACGGGAAAATTGAGACGAAGGAGGGGTTTTGGTGGGATAGACGATGGCAGGTTGATTTTTGGGTCTGAGTCAGGATCCGCAGCTGTTATTGGCCGGTGGAATTTTTCTGGGATTTACTATAGTACGTTGGCTATGGTTTGGCTACGGTTATGCTACGAAGCTGATATCAGGCGTTTTCACTTGTTTCTCGATTTTTGAAGCTATGCGCAGCTTAACTGGGATCTCGCTGTTGTTCTCGATATGCAATTGCTGCCAATATTTACAGATTGGGTAATGGGGCTTAGGGCATAGGGCAGCTATGTGGGGTTGACCCCGCCTTGCCGCTTTCGGTCTATACAGAGGTAGAGAAGTAGAGTATGTTGGATTACCACTTCCAAGTTGCACCAGTAGATTTTTGATACGCGACAAGATCCCTCTTTGACAATTACATAGCCATAACAATCTCTATCCAAAACGAAGTTTCCACGCCAAAGGCGAACGACTGTCCACCGTATCAGATCTCAACAAGCCTCCAACAAACCTGCTAACGAACAAAACCCAGATGTCGTGAACATCACATACCCGAACTTCCCTAGCCAGTAGCAGCGGAAATGTTAGAAAGACCGGGCCAGTCTTCGGTCTTGATACGAGTCGGAAACGTCGTCTCGGTATCTTGCATGGGCTCCTCTCCCTTTTTAACAGTCGATAACCATCCCTGCGCCTTAGAGATCTTTTCCTTTTCCCTGAGAAGGTACTGGCGACGGCGCTGGCGCTCTGGATCTTCGGCCATGAGTTCCATACAGCGCTCGGCGGCTGCAAGATTTATTAGTGTTCATTGCATACAGAGCACATTGAGAGATTAAGATCACCATTCTCATCATAAATTCTAAGCTCATGTTCAATAACATCGATCAGTTCTTCGTGGCATTTGAAGAAAAGCTTGGTGTAAACGCTCTGGCAGATCGAATCCACGAAACGAGAGCTTGCAACTTCGTAGTATCCACGAGTAGTCTAGGATTGTCAGTTCTGTGTACAGTCAAAGCAAGGTGCGAACTTGCCGCCATCATCTTAAGCTCCTGCGTGAACATGTCGACACCCAACTCGGCATCTGTGAGCTTTCTGATCTCAGCATCACGTCGCGGGTCCTCCCGAGGAAGTCTATCCTGCATGTCCAGGTACTTGTGGGCGCGTTCCAGGTGACGTCGAGAACTAAGGTATGAGTATGCACTCATCCTCGTATGTTCGAGCGCGAATTGGGACATGGTAAAGGGTTTATGCTTCTCGATGTTAAAGTTTTCAAAGGCATGTTGGGTGTGCTCCTGCTTCAATGTATATAGGTAACCGTCAATTATGCGTGTAAGTTCGCGGAAGAGGCTCGTGCGATGGTATTGGGAGAACACGTTTTCAAGCTGTTGAATCAACATGTCTCTAACGAGGCGGTGAGTAGCGTTGAGGAACACAGTCATAGGTTTGTGCCAATGTTCCACACTCAACTGGTTCATAATTTCGATGGCTTTGGGGTCGGTTTGATCCGGAATTCCGGCACGATACGAATCCTCGTTGATCTCCCTAATTTCTTCCCAGGTGAACATCCTAGCCGGACGGTCAAAGGCATCAAAATGGGGTGTAGAATATCCCGTAGTTTTACGTGCAGGAATCTCATTTGGGGTTTGCGAACCGGCCTTTTGGGCACCCGAGGCGTCACGCTTCATTGATGGCTGAACCGTAGTCATCTCACAATCCGAATCGTCTCCCTCACGACTCATTGCCATAACCGTGGAATCAAGCGGAGATAGGAGCTGGACTGTCGGCCGAGTCTTAACCAACGCTCTCTTGAAATCCATTGCTATATGAAGCCAAATCTTTGGCAAAGGATACTGACCAGAGCCGCCCTGAATATGTGCCCGAATTTGCTCTTTAAGATTGTTGAGCTTTCCGCACAGGATGTACGGTACGTTGGTCGACGGTGGGCTGGGAAGCTCCTGCAGTTCAGTTTCAATGCGACTGGCCTTTTCGTTGATTTTCTCAATGATTCGAGGAAGGCACCCCTGGATCTGATCCAGAAGAAGATTAGAGAGGGAAGCCTGGAGACGCCTGGTACCAAATCTATCGCGATATGCCGACAATTCAGTGCTCCAAGGACTCGAATCGAAAAACTCAGCTTCCTCCTCGCGCGCGACAGCATGCTCGATGGAAGGGTCTTTATTGTTGCGGACAACGAAGTATCCATGGCCGAGTGAAAATTTGTCGCCCTCAAAAATCTCCATCCATTGAGTATACTCGCCCAGCTGGATCCTGTCGGGCTTTGTCAAGACACCCAAGGTTCTCGACTTCGCTCCGCGGACGTCTCTAATGATTCGTGCCGCACTGGAGTTGGTCGCATCGTCTGTCATTGGCAACGCTAGAAGCACAATGCAATTCTCCTGCGAGATGTACTCCTTGACTAGGTTCTCAACGAGAGCGACCAAATATCTTTCTTCGTCAAATTCCGCCTGACTGATTACACCAGGAAGATCGTAGAAAGAAAGGGTGGGGAATTCCGGGGCAGAGATATCCAAACGGACGATATTCGGAGAAAACTTGACTTGATAGTGCGAGCCATCAATGCCTGCATTCCGTCCGGGTACATAGTCTGCTGGTGGTCTTCCAGGGTTGAGGATTGCAAGCTGCGCCCATTTCACCGCTTCTTGAACATCGCCCTTGTCAGAAAGAGTGAGAAAAAGCTCATCTTCCTGATCCTGTTCAATCCAGGGGCCGAGCTGAAACTTCTTCGAGATTTTGATCTTGCGACTGCCATCGAACATGTATTTTCGCGAGATATAGACCTTACAGGTCCAAGGTTGGGAGGGTTCAGAATGCGACAGATTGATTTCCATCGGGCATCTGGTACAAGTGCCGGCGCTGCGAGGGACTTTGATCTCGCTCATCCCCTCAATCAGCGAGCTCTTGCCGGTGCTTTGGTCTCCAACGACACAGATCTTTGGGAGCGCAATCTTGTTGTCCTCTATTCCCAGGTGACGAAGGTCTTGAATCTTTTTAACCAAAGTTCTCATATCTTGGGATATGAAGTTGATCGAATCCTCAGCGGCGGGTAGACTCGAGGGCCTGGAGCGTTGCATCGTGGCTGTTCAGGATGAGTTGTCTGCTTGATTCCAAGTTAGAAGAGATACGCTTACCGGTCGAGGCAAGATTGTCTTTTTCTTGGGGTATGTGTTTCGTCTCCGGGGTAAAAAACCTCATGATAATTGAGTATTCAACACAAGTTCTCGGTACAATCTGGCAGACCGGACAACTCAGGGTGTTGAGGAGGTAATGGAAAGCACAGGGGGTGTCAAGGATGAAGAGAGTTAACACATCGAGAGAAAAAGAGTGAAAGAGAGAAAGGCGAAGGTAGAAAAGAGCACATGCCCCTCTAAAATGAAAGAGGTTGGCCCTGCGGTTCAAGCTCCCAGTGAATGGCAAACACCAGCCAGCAATACGTAATTCTCATTTCCATAGGAGCTGTCGACAGAGACGACGAGCAGTTCCTCTTAGCGATTCAGCTAAACCATTGCTACGGCATATCGCTTGGGTACGCCTTCACCATCCGCATACAGCGTCCACTGGTTGCAAGCCCGGTATAGTGCGATGCTAGTCGTCAAGCATAGTCATCTTTGATATCTTTTCAATGATTGATAATCTCTCTGTATAGCTATCAGCCACTGTTTATATAGGGATAACTGATTAACCAACCTGAACACCGAATACCTCTCCTTGGCCCAGCGCCATGATGCTTACTCTGAAAGTCTTTAGGATATCTTATGCGCACCAGTTCCCAGAATAAAGATGACGATAAAATGGACGGCAAGTGGCACCCAGATCCAACGGTTCACCAACGGGGGGCTCCTTCTGTTGGCGGTGGGCCTGGAATTCGGTGATCCGCTTTCGGGTCTCAAGCAACTTGGTCAATTTCTCCTGTCAACGAGTTGAGCTGTATAGGGGTGCCAGTATTCCTAGCAGTATCTTTATACCCAATTCACTTTTTTTTATATTTTCTTTTAGAAAGATAGACTATATCCTCCAGCCTTCTCCATGCTTCAAGTTCCAGTTCGCGAACCCACCAACCTGGCCTCGACCAAGGCCGTGATCTTGGTATGGATCATGCAGACACATGCTGTCCTCATTTTTGCTATAGTCAATACTGACGGAATACCCATGAATAGGTCGGGGGTCCATCCAGGGGAACCCGGTTTAGGCCATTGTCTCTCGACGTGCCCAAGGTTGGTGATAGTCATGCCCCTCCGCCTCTGTTTTGAGTTGCATTGCATCTCCGTCCACGGCGCATACCAATTTTCAACGCACATTTATGTCGAATCGCGCTGACAAAATGCTATATACTAGCCCCTATTCGAAGTCGCCGGTCATCCCATCCTCCGTCACTGCCTCCAAGCCGTCGCTAAGATCCCCGATATTCGCGAAGTGATCCTGGTCGGGTACTACGACGAATCAGTCTTCCGAGAATTTATCAAAGACTCTGCCAAGGACTACCCCCAGCTCCGCCTCCAATACCTACGTGAATACACGGCCCTGGGAACCGCCGGAGGTCTCTACCATTTCCGCGATGCCATTCTTAAGGGGAGGCCGGAGCGCATCATTGTGCTGAATGCAGACGTCTGCTGCTCGTTCCCGCTGGGTGAGATGCTGAAGTTGTTCGAAGAGAAGGACGCAGAGGCGGTTATTCTGGGAACCAGGGTCAACAACGATGCGGCCACCAACTTCGGTTGTATAGTGTCTGACTCGCACACCAAGCGTGTGCTGCACTACGTCGAGAAGCCCGAAGGCCACATCTCCAACCTCATCAATTGCGGTGTCTACCTGTTCTCGACCGAGTGTATCTTCCCTGCGATCCGTAGCGCCATCAAGCGCCGCACCACCCGCCCCCGTCTGGTCTCGTACCCTTCGTCTGAGCACCTTGACGCATCGTTCGTCGCGGCCAACGCCGAAGAGGACTCGGAGAAGAGCGAGGTCATCCGTCTCGAGCAGGACATCCTCTCCGACCTGGCCGACAGCAACCGATTCTTCGTTCACGAAACCAAGGACTTCTGGCGACAGATCAAGACGGCCGGCTCCGCCGTCCCGGCCAATGCACTCTACCTGCAAAAGGCGTTCCAGGCACAATCCGAAGGACTCACTGCTCCCTCCGCGACCATCGTCCCGCCAGTCTTCATCCACCCTACTGCGACTGTCGACCCGACCGCGAAGCTGGGTCCTAACGTCTCCATTGGGCCCCGTGTGGTTGTTGGGGCCGGTGCTCGTATCAAGGATTCGATTGTTCTGGAAGACGCCGAAATCAGGCATGATGCATGTGTGATGCACTCGATTATCGGGTGGAGTAGCCGGGTGGGCGCTTGGGCTCGTGTCGAGGGGACTCCGATCCCGATGGGCAGCCACTCTACTAGCATTGTGAAGCATGGAATCAAGGTGCAGAGCATTACGATTCTGGGTAAGGAATGTGCGGTTGGAGATGAGGTGCGGGTACAGAACTGTGTTTGTCTGCCATTCAAGGAGCTCAAGAGGGTATGTTTACGTCCATCCTCATACTGCGTTGATTCCGTTGCTAACTTTATCAGGATGTTGCCAACGAGGTTATTATGTAGAGTTTTTCGTCCTGTTGTTTTTTGTTGTCTACCTAATTTTCTACCTACACCATTGTTTGCAGATGACTTTCGCTCAATTCAAGATGACATTCCAGCGCTTGCTTTGCTGCTCTATTCAAAACGTGAAACGATAATGTATTCAAATGACCAAGATTGAAGAGATGAGACCAAATACCAACGCCGTACCTAATAAATAAAATCAAAACATGTGCAATATCGTAACTCATCATAGATCGGTGAAGATGAGCAGGTATCAAAGATCAGGTGCGCATAGTCACTTCAGCCGAAGAGATCTCTCACCTATATGCACCAGGATCATAACTCGTCTGTTCCGGAGGCTGTGCATACCCGGACCCAACAGCACTAAACCTCACCCTGGGCGCCCCCCAAACACCTCTCGCCGGCGCATTGTCCGAATAATTCTGCGCCTCCCCGGCATGATACTGCTCTAGATGTCCATTCCCAGATACACTCGATCCAGTCCCCGAGTACGCCACACTATCAAGCCTCCTAGGACCAGGACCATGACCAAGCCCACCACCAAGACCCCCAGCCGCGCGCGGATCGGGAACATCATGATAATACCTCGCCCCAGCAGTCGGATCATCCGCTGTCATCAAACTCTCACTATTCCTGTCCTCCAACTTCACATCCCCACCAACCATCATCGGGTTACTAGTCATGGGATCGTAGCTCCCGAGTCTAGTCTGGCGCTTGCGCACGATGATATCGAGCGTGATGGCCGCGATGAGGGAGGCGACCGCCGCGACGGTGAAGGAGAAAAACGCCTTGTAAATGCGGCACACTGTTATTCCTGTTGAATTGCCCCAGTATGTCTCTGTGCAGGTTGTCAGGATAGTGTGGGACATGCTCCAGCAAAGGACGCCCAGGGCGGCGATCCAGATGAGGAGCAGGATTGTGTTGGACGTTAGGTTCAGGCGCGGGGAGAGGCCGCAGCAGCAGTGGATGAGGGTTGTTAGGGTGAAGTTTATGAGTGAGAGGACGACGGCGATGATGAGCTGAATGCTTTTTAGTGACTTGTATAGGTAAGGTGTAAAAGAGGTTTGGGAGAACTTACGACTAGGTATGCCCATGGTAGTCTGTAGTTCTGTTGGTGTAGGTGGTAAATAAAGAGGGCGAGGATGATGCCGACAATGATAGTGGAGAGAAGGACGAAGATGCGAATGATATGAAATGGGATGGCGGGATATAGAGAAGGTTTGACGGATGACTTTTTGGAACGCATCTTGGCGGTAATTGTGTATTTCCTCTGGTTGTTTGAGAGAGGATAGAAGAGGGAGAAAGGACTAGAGAAAAGAGACACAAAGAATGTCAATGTTTGCTGGAGACTGTCGCAACAGTCGATCACCGGCGCGGCTCCACGGGCGTTGCTAAAGAAAGCACGCCTAGTAACGGGGGGTTTGTTGCACTATGTATGTACACAGAGCGCCATTAACTAGGTAGTATGTTGTTGTTTCTTTAGAGGGGGAATCAGTTCTCATAATATGCCAGCCTTGTCGTAGCAGATTTACCCCGTGTAAAGACATGATGGTGGCGGTGTTGGCCTGGAGATCGGCCTCGACCACGCGGCGTCTATATTTATCCCGCCCACTATGGAGTCCTGTTTAGAGACACTTTAGGTGTGTTTCTGGAACGGTGGATACATTTAGTGACAGCCGGATCACACACGGTACTCGTATGTAACACTCGGGTTAAAATATCTTAAATATCCTTAACATGGGGTTTAATTTCAGAAGAAGCATGCCAGTTTTCACACGGTAAACAGGTGACAAGTGAGACATAAACTGGAGCAGTGACCGAAGACGAGGTATATGCAGATGCCAGCCACGGGATTTTTCAGCTCAACCAACAGTAAACAGGAAGACTCCATAATTAAATAGTTTCATTATGTGTTCTTTCGTGTTTGAATCAACCCAATTTAAACATTGCGTATTGCAACTGTCAACTACCACGTTGTAAGGTCACGTGTCATCGATACAACATCGGGCTATCTGCAAAGTTTTTACTCCGACAACTGCCAGCATAGAATTCGTCGCATTTAGCTCTGAGATATTCAAAAGAAAAATATACTACACCGATAATGCGTGATCGATAGTATTAAAGGATTACTTTTGCCGAGAAACCAACTTGCGCGGGCAAATTAAGCCATGGGCCTCCTGAAGACGGTGGCCCTGGGGATTCTGGGGATCTCGGGTCTGACGTTTGTGGCTCTGTTTGGGAGATTGCCGGTTTTTCGGTACTATGGAAATCTCAGAAATTTAGTCTAACAAGTCTAACTGGTCTGCAGGAAAACACCCATCAGTTTCCTCTACAAGGTTGTTTGGAAATATATCCCGAATGGCATATCCTATTTCGACAATCGTCTGTTGGGTGGATGTCTTACATTCTGCTGTAACCGAACCGGTAAATACGTGTGGAATGAGAACCATCCATTAGTCTTAGTTCGTATTCAACGCACTGAGTGACTTTCCTGGTGCTAACATATATAGATTTTCTTCGTGTCCCTGCTTGTTGCTGGAGAATATCTGTTTATCCCAACCGCGTGGCCTCGGATATCCACTATCCATAAAGTCTGCGCACCACTGGTTGCGGTTCTTCCGTATTTCCTTTTATATGCATGTGTCGTCTCTACGTCCTATATCACCCCGGAGAACCATGCGCAAGAGATGACCCGTTATCCCTATGACGGGGTCATCTTCCACCCGGGACGCCATTGCTCGACATGCAAATTCGTTAAACCAGCACGGAGCAAGCATTGCAGTTTCTGCAAGGCGTGTGTTGCTCGACAAGACCATCACTGTGTATGGCTAATAAACTGCGTGGGCGCGAATAACTACCACTACTTTCTGTTGCTATTGCTGTCGTTGTCAGTTCTGTTGATATACGGCTCGCTCCTGGGCCACTCGCTTCTATCTCAGACTATGGAGGTGTTATTCCTCCCAGAGTCAGGACAAAAGCTGGCGAGGAAAAGTTGGACGATGTGGTTCAATGTTTGGTCATTGGTTATTGCGGCTGAAATCCGCATCGGAACAGTCACTTTGCTGGCATTCATGACAGCTCCGCTGGCGATGGCTTTTCTTGTGTACCATACATACCTCATCTGGGCTGGGATGACGACCAATGAAAGCGCGAAATGGTCTGAATGGAAAGATGAAGTGGCGGATGGCTGTACTTTCAAGTCTACAAAGGAGGAAATTTACGGAAACTCGCCGGTTCCGGGTGAGAGCCAGAATCCCCAGTTGGCATGGCCTTTGAGCAGTGATCAAATCCTCCTCCTGACAGACGGGGAGCCGCCAGCGGAAGGATACAAGATTTCGTCGAGGTCCAACGATATCATCCAACCAGATGATCTCGATGCACCTTATGATCCAAGATGGGTGCGAGTGCGTAGTATGGAAGAGGTTGATAACATTTACGACTTGGGATTCTGGGATAATATGCGGGAAGCTTTCAAGCTACCTGTCAATAAGAAGGTGCAATAGAACTGCTTGGATACATTTACTAGCTAAGTCAATATTTCAAATGCCTGAGGCCTCAATCAGTTTATCAATCCCAAAAGAGCAATCGGCGGGACACATCGGAGATCGAGTAAATCCGAGTATCTTTCTCTGCTCCGCATTGATAATTATTTTAACCCCAACCGCCACCTGCAATCAATAATAAAGACGAAATTGTTTGGCGCTCAGCTTCTGCAACCAGCAGTCATAACCAATCATTATGACTGACCGCGCAGAATCAGATACAAAGCCAAAATGCACACCAGCCGAACTAATGCTGAAGGTCATATTGACGGGGACCTTGAGCCACTACGAAACCCGCGGCATGGTTGACGACAAGAGGCTAGAGCATATGCTCTCTGCTGGGAAGCAGATCCTGTACAAGACACATCAGGAGAGCGATGTCAGGTATGCTTATATTTGTTCTAGTCTTTGCCATCCCATAGTAACTGTATGCTAATTTGTTGCTTTTTGCTAGACACAATCTGGGCTTGTCGCCAGACATCTGGCAGGGCTTCACAGACGTACTTACCAAAGCGATCCCCGTCCTCGAGGCACAATCCTTCGCATGGAAGAGTCCCCCGTCCGTTAACTACGACCATTCATCCTCCAACCTCATCGCATTCAACTACTTCTCGCTGGTCAAGGACATCGAACGCTTAAATGACCTCTGCACGATCGCACGCAACCTCCTCGCAACGACAAAGAAAGCGCAAAACATGGCAGCAGAAAAAGGATTCGACCAACGGATAATAGCGCTGGTAGATACTTGCGTGAGGGTTACTGCGCGGGGCTTTGATGGGGAAACCAATGCAAGGAACGAGGAGCGATGGCAAAAAGTGGTCAATCTTTACAAGCGCCTATTGATTACGTGCTTGCAGTTCCTGCACAACTTTATCATGCACAATGAGCAGCGGAAGATGGTGCTTTGGTTAGATCTGTTTGGGTATCATTCTACGGGGGATACGAACATTATTCAGCCCAAGGAGCCGTTGGACCAGACAATTAGCAAGTCGGATGGTGTCGCGCCGATCGTGAAGACTGGGGAGAGGATCGTTAATCCGCCGATCCGGGCCCTGTATGATCAGACTGCAGAGGATCTGTTGTTGGAAACTATCTCCAATTTCCCAAGAGAGCCTGCAACGATCAAGGAGGAAGCGGCTATGCTCCTTCTCGCAAATATCAAGGACCATATGGAGAAGCTCCTGGGACGGGATTTGACGGCGATACAGGAAATGGGTAAAGATCCAGAGCAGGTTAAGGAAATCCGGGCTGTTCTTACAGCAATACTCGGAGCGAAGGTGGATGGATGGTCAGATCTGCAGGACAGGGCTAGGGATCTTCCTCCAGCTCTACCAGAAGATGAGCCACCGCGCAAGAAGTCTATTCTTACCATCGACCGTAGCCCTACTGCAGGGTTCCCTCGGATCTGCTGGGCTGATCTCCCTGACCTTTCCGAGTTCAGCACCGTTGCTTCAGGGGATGCCGTTGTGGCGGAGGAAGATACCGGCATGCCGCGTTCCGCACAGTCTGCTGCAGAGACATTACAAGAAGCAAAGGATGAGTTGATGGCACGACTGCAAGAGACCTCGCAAATGGGTGACGATGGTGGCCAAGAGTATGACCATGCTGATGGCGGGACGGTTGCCGATGATGATTCGCGCAGTTTAGAGGCTGTCGCGGACGGAAGCATGGAGGAGGAAGAGGAGGAAGATGACGAGGACGACGATGACTACAGAGGCCGCCCAGGCGATCAACAACGGGGTCTGTTGACTGACATTCCGCTTGTGCTTGGACCTGCGGAAATCGAAGCTCTTCCAATGATTGTCCAGGCCGGTATTGTCGACAGCTTTGGTCTCAAGGGCGGAGAGAGAGTTGGTTCGAGGAATATGCAGGCTCTTCGGTGTCACATACTGCTTACCCAGGAGACAGGTCGCAACTTGCTACGCGAACTGCTGATATTCATTGCCGCCTGGGATCTTCCTGACGACGAGCTGTACTTCAAGATGATGGTGCAGATCATGGACGCGGTGCTCAAGAACGGTCTGATGTCTCATGCTTACTCCGACTTTGGACAACCAAAGGATATCATTTCTCCGGCGCAAGCCGTCGTGGTCAAGATCTTGACCCACATCTTCCGATCCAAGTACTCTCCCGCATCTGTGACAGGAACACAGCCCAATCCTTCAAAGAACCCAGCGCCCCTTTCCCGAGTCGACGTCCTCACCGTGCGCTACATCTTCACGATTTTCCGCGGTAACATTATCCCCGAAACCTGCGCTCTGATTTACCTCCAAGGCCAGATCCGCGCCGGACGCGCACTGCCAGAGGACTTCCCACTGAACCTGTGGGACATGGAACGAGTCTACGAAGGCGTCTACCAGTTCCTCGAGTTCTTTGCCGTTCTCACCGAAAACAACGACTGGAAGAACCTGCTCGTCAAGTGGGAGATTGTCTACGACCTTGTCACCCTGATCAAGGAACTAGAGGCCAGCATCCCCAAAGGCCAGTTGAGCTCTTTACCCATGGGAATTCCCCCGCGCCACACCAGTCCTCCCAAGGATAGCCCGCAGCCAGGTACAAGCGGCGTTCCAGTCGCCGTAGAACGACCCTACGACCCCAGCGACCCCGACCCCGCAGATATCGGCCCAGGCTCGGGAGCCGAGTCGCCACCGATCACAGAGGATCCGTCCGAGTTCGAATGGAGGAACCTTAAGAAGCTGGTCGTGCTCGTGCTCTCGTCGCTTGTGTGGAAGTGCCCCGAAGTACAAGATCAGATTCGACGATACGGCGGTCTCGAGACGATCCTTTCCTGCACGAACTTCGATGCGCACAACCCCTACATCAAGGAACACGCCGTCATGTGTCTAAAGTTCCTGTTAGAAGGGAACAGGGAAAACCAGAAGATGGTGGAGGATCTTGAAGCGAGGGAGGTTGTCAAAGATGATGGGGGCTTGTTGGAACGGAGTGGGTTCGAGGCTGTGATTGATAAGACGGGCAAATTGGCTATTCAGCCCAAGTCGGATACTGATGGGGTTACCAGGGTAAGCATGTGATGCATTTTATGTACGAATAGACGATCTTGTACCCCTGTATAGAATTTTTGATATGTTTCGCATTACATTGGATTCCAAATTATGCATATACACTGCTGGTATCTCCGCTATACAACTGACACTGACATCGTACGTATCAATCATCACCAAATCATTTCTCATAGTCACCAAAACAACTCCCACCCCACCCCATTGAACTGGACTAACCATACATCCCATCCCACTCCTCCTCATCATCATCCGCCGGCTTCTGTTTCCTCGCCGCCTCCTTCTCCCTCTCCTGTTTCGCGAAATCCTTCCGGTCAAGAGGACATGTACCCCTCAACATCAGCCACGGCCGCACACACTCGAGATCGAACAGATGGGTCGGGTGGCAGGGAAGCTGCACGACGAGCGGGTATTCGTCTTCCAGGAAGGGGTTGTTGCAGATCGGGCAGGTTTGGGACTCTTTGAGGGATTTGCGGGGGACGCGGTCGAGGACTGCACCACAGCACATATGTTAGCAACTTGCGACTTATTCGTTTTTGTAGGTAGTGAAAGGGTGGAAAGTACCATCACAAAACTCCTCACTAACACCCTCCACCTCTCTCGGCGGCGTATTTGCCTCACTCAACAAAGACTGAATCATCGTCGTCAACAAATCCTCCCCTCCCTGCCCACCTTCCTGGACTTCCGTCCCAACATCACCACCTTCCCGTCGCATAACCTCCAGCGCCTCCGCAAGCGAATAAAACGCCGCGCTTATATCTCCGGGCACGGGAATGGCATGTTCTCTGTGTCGCGAGGCTTCGGGGTTGGAGATTTCGGAGAGTGTTGCGAAGAAGGTGGAGAGGTCGGGCCGGCGGCGGCGGTGGGTGAAGGAGGGAGTGGTGCTGGGGTCTGTGGTGTTGTGTTCAACTGTAGATTTCTGTTAGGATTGAGAGAGAGAGGGGGAGGGAGGGGGGGGTTGGGGTTGAGCGTGCCTTCGTAGGTGGACATTTTGGTGGTTGCGCTGCGTGACGCGGGGTGGTGTCTGGTGTCGGGTTTTCGGAGGGTGGGATCTGTTGGGATGGGGTTTTGTTTGTGTATAGAATAGAAAAGAGGGGATGGTTTGAGGGATTCGGGACGAGTGAAGTAGAGGACAGGGAGATATTTATGTTGAGGTGAGGTCGAGGTAAAGTTGGTGATGCGAGCAGTGGATGCGGAGGCAGCAAAAAGACGCGTTAACTATCGATAAGGATCGTTACTAACCAACAGGGATCTAGTAGATTCCGTGAAACTTTTATGGACAAATTGATAAGAATTCGTTAATATTCGTCTCAGTGCTTTTCAAGATATACGAGTATACTTTTCGTATATCAATTCTCAGTAGACTTCTTTATCGTGATGTTCCCCGTCTTGTGACGCCCATTCTTCAAGACACCGCGCCGAATTAACCTCAATTCTGCAACCAGCCATAAAACAGGCAATCGAACAAAAACCGCCTGCAATGAAATCAACATAGAAGCGAAATCAATTTCATATACAGCAAAAGACAAAGGACACGCCCCCACGTGACTGCAAACCAAGGAACTCCCTACGCGCAAGGCCCAAGGGCAACGCGACAGCGCACTGAATTGAGAAAAACAACGCCCAAAAGACTAGGATGGGTGCGGAGGATGGCGCAAACAATTCCAATCAGGGGTCTGATATCCTCTTCCGGGGAAAGAAATTCTGGTTATCACAGAATATCCCGCAGAAAAGTAGGTTCAAGGAACTCATTACGGTAAAACCCCCTTCCCTTCACTTGCTTAGGGACTGATACTGATACACCGGACAGGAACACGGCGGAATTGTGAAACTACAAGACAAAGACGCAGACGTCAAGTTAGTCGATCATAAGAGGAAGAACCTCCCTTCGGATACGTCAGTCATCCCATATACCGAAGGTACACAGTATTAACAGCAACCAGCTACTCATACAAATATATCGAAGACTCCATCCGCAACAAACGGCTAGCAAGACTAGAAGACTACCACGCTGGTCCATCACCTCAACGTCCTGTGGGAGCAACCTATATCCCAAGCAGGGGTGTCAAGGTTATTTATTCCATGGAAGATGACCAGCTGCTTTGGGACTATGTCCAGCAATTTGAGGGAAAGACTGGAGTTGCTATCGGTGGGAATAAGATTTATCAGGATTTGGCAGCGAAAGTGAGGAATCATACTCGTATAAGGTGGATATAGCTAATCTTGCTTGTGCAGAACCCTAGACATACTTGGCAGTCGTATCGTGATCGATACTTGAAGAGATTACGGGGCCAGCCTCGACCCGGTGGTATGGAGGGGTCTGCAGCTCAGACATCAGACTCAGGGCCTAGTTCGTCGGTTCCTCCTCGGGATCCAAAGCCTGCCAGAAGTCATCGACAGTCACCAGCTTCGACTACAGGTCGGGTTCCAATAGTCTATGAGATCGGGGTCGACAAAGCTTTTTCAAGAGCTCCTAGTATGAATGCAGAAGAACGACCTTGGCAGAGGATAGACCCAGTTGCGAACAACCCCGATGATCGAAAACGGAAAAGGTCATCTAATGCTGAACATACTGATCGTTCTCAATCCAGACAGCAAGAATCACCAGAGCAGAAGAGAAGAAGGGCCCCAGAGCCTGCGGCACGAGAAATCTGGACACCACAAACAACCCACCAAGCTGAAACCACAGAGTACCGTAATGACAAAGAACCAGAACGAGAACAACAGAACCAGTCCGAACAACCCGAAAACGAAGTCGATAGCCTATTCCTAGAACTCCCCTTCTTCCCCGCAACCCCAACCCCAGAACCCGAAGAGGAACAAAGCTTACAACCTGACATCGACGACTGGATCGATGATCACATACACAGCGGCAGAGCAAAGAACGATGCACAGGTGATCGAAGCCCTGCGCTTCACGAGCATGGATCCAGGCCTAGCCGATACGATTCTGGATAATCTGGTCGCTGGAAAGGGGATACCGGATGATATGCCAGGGGTATGGACACCAGAAGATGATAGGTGCTTGGAAGGTGCTAATGCCCGGGATATCGAACGCGTGCTGAAGAAACATGGAACGGAGTATTTCAATGTTAGATGGGAATACCTTGGTTTGGCGAGGGATGCAGGGCTTGAGGATCCTGGTGATCAATGATCATGCCGTAATGAGACCAAATCCAAAATTTCATAATTTGCATTGTACAGGAAACCACGGAAACATTGGATGAAATAGGCACAGGGAGAATCGAAACCCGGAAAAAGAATAGCTAATAGGCACTTATGCATCCTAGCATGCCCTAAACGTGCTTGCAAAACCCATCAATGTAAGAATAGACAAGGATATCGACTTCAAAAACCCGCAGTATATAACAATAAATTCCATTATTAAATCATTGCTAGGCAGTTCGAGAACCTTTCGTTGATATTAAGTTTAACTCTCTTTAAAGACACTGTGACAGAGTTAGCGCCCTGTTTTACCAAGCGTGAAAGGATGGAACTTACAGATGAGCCTCATAGAATTTGAGCATCTTGCTGCAAGTTAACATAGGTCCACAAGTGTTAGCAGTTGAACAACTCACCTTCCTCGGGCATTTTTCGTAGCATGTTTCAAGAGATACTCTCGACTTCTTCCCATCTTTCCATTGTATGTACGCGTATAAAATGCTTGTTTCCGCTTCGCGCATTATGGTCTCAATTTTTCGCACATCATTCTCCCAGCTTTTGCGGTTGGGCGTCCAGTCGGTATAAAAATCCCCATTCTCGTTCTCGTTTTCATCTGCTGTTGAAGTTGGTGTCCCGATAGCGTTGCCGCCAGTCGACTTCTTTTGTCTCTTAGGTGCTGCCTTCTCGGGGGTCTGCTTGGGTCGTCCAACCGACTTGCGCTTCTTGGGAGCTGGCTTTTCCGGACGACCACCTTGAGTTTTGTAGTACTCCTCCACTAGATCCTTCGCACCCTCCCTAACACATTAGTGAGCTTGGCGGCTATACGCTGCAAATTATACTCGATCACGTACATTAGGTTTTCTTCGGGCTCCATAGTCTGATCTGCCGGGTCCTCGTATCCCTTCCATTTCACTTGAAGCAGGAGTGTGCCCTATCACAGTCAGCGCATCGCACTTGGCTGTCGCAGGTGAGTTGGGATCGCGCGTACATCTTTAAGGAAGTCATGGCCCACGATCTGTTCAACAATATATCTGCTCGAATCAGCACAGCCCATCTCATGTCCATTGCCGCGACTTACACGCCCTCTTCTTCATCTTCTTCGCCTGAGGCGGCCTGATCTGCGTCCTCGGGTTCGTGTTGTTCTTCGTCATTGTTTGCGTAGGGAATAGAGCCTCCGGTAGACTCGCTATCCGACATATCTTCCAACGGAGCTAAGATGCGTAAAAGATTAGCTTGGTCTCCAGGCTAATTCGATCGAGGAACGACTCACGAGGCATGGTTCCGGATGGAGATTTAAGCTTGAAAAGTCTGGAAAGCAAAGTCACGGTGATCGCGGGTTATGAAACTTCACAGAGCAATCATTAAGCAGCGATGACCAACAGATTAATTGAAGTAAGTACAGAGTGCAAAGTCGAGGTAGATAGACATACTTGACTTGCGAATCGCGCGTTGAGAGAGGAAGTGCGCTATACCGCCTTGGGAAAACAGCTCACTAGCCCGATTGGGACATCTCCAGAATTTCTAAAAAGGACCTCCGAACGACTATCGGATCGTGGCCAGATTCAACTTCCCTCCTCCCGCTTTTCTCACTCTATCGAGGGTTTTTGTCCTGGTTATTGTTTAATTCTATTCTCTCCGTGTTATTCTAACTTATCTCTTTTATTAAATCCGACTTCCTGCCACGCGGCAGACCACATTAAAAAAAAATGGCGATGCGTATGTCCCGGTGCCCCTCATTCTTGAATTTATGGACTAACTGTCAACTTTTCTCCTTACAGAGCTTGATATGTCTCAAGGTCGATCCCCGTCTTGCGAAATGCTCCGACCGTATCGAATAGCGACTGACAGTCATAACAGCGTCGGTGATGAAGGATGAGCAGGGCCGGCCTTTCATCGTTGTCCGGGAGTACGTTCTTCAAATCCCTTTCTCTGCGGTTAACGGCTACACTCCGGAGGATTTGTGCTGATTGGATACGCATTACAGTCAAGGAAAGAAGAAGAGACAACATGGCACGGAGGCTGTGAAGTCGCACATTGTCGCTGCCAAAACTGTTGCCAACATCGTGAAGACTTCTCTGGTATGGTTATTCGAACACGTTGCTGGAACAAAGTCTAAGCATTATTCTAGGGTCCGCGTGGTCTCGACAAGATCTTGATCTCTCCGGATGGTGATATTACAGTGACAAACGATGGCGCAACTATTCTTGGGCAGGTCCGTCGTCAACCTCAACCTCTCGACGCTTGTACGAAATTGCCACTGACCTCTCCCGTTTCTGAAGATGGAAATCACGAACAACGTTGCTAAACTGCTGGTCGAACTCTCGAAATCCCAAGACGAAGAAATTGGTGACGGTACTACTGGTGTTGTCGTTCTGGCAGCAGCCATGTTGGAGCAGGCCGCGGATTTGATTGACAAGGGTATTCACCCTATTCGGATTGCGGATGGATACGATTCCGCTTGTGAGATCGCCCTTGAACAACTCGATAAGATCAGCGACGAAATCCCCTTCTCGAGAGAGAACACCGAGAACCTGCTGAAGGTCGCAAAGACCAGTTTGGGTAGCAAGATTGTCTCCAAGTCTCACGACCAGTTTGCGCAAATCGCCATCGATGCCGTTCTCTCTGTTGCCGATCTCGACCGTAAGGACGTCGATTTTGAGCTAATCAAGGTTGATGGCAAGGTTGGAGGTGCTCTTGAGGATTCCCTTCTGGTGAAGGGTGTTATTGTCGACAAGGACTTCTCCCACCCTCAGATGCCCGACGAGGTGACAGACGCAAAATTGGCAATTCTAACTTGCCCATTCGAGCCCCCGAAGCCTAAGACCAAGCACAAGCTGGACATCACATCGGTCGACGAATTCAAGCGGTTGCAAAACTACGAGAGCGAGAAGTTCCAGGAGATGATCCAGAACCTGAAGGATGCAGGTGCCAACCTTGTTATTTGCCAGTGGGGTTTCGATGATGAGGCAAACCACCTTCTGCTCCAGAACAACCTCCCCGCTGTCCGGTGGGTCGGTGGTCCCGAAATTGAATTGATTGCCATCGCCACGAACGGTAGAATTGTCCCTCGTTTCGAGGATCTGAGCGCGGAAAAGCTTGGAACTGCTGGTCTTGTCAAGGAAATGACCTTCGGTACTACCCGGGAGAAGATGCTTGTCATTGAAGAGTGCGCCAATAGCCGTGCGGTGACTGTTTTCGTCCGGGGGAGCAACAAGATGGTCAGTGACTTCCTAGCCTGATTACCCCATGATTTGCTAACATCGGGCTCTACAGATCATTGATGAAGCCAAGCGGTCGCTGCACGATGCTCTGTGCGTCGTCCGCAACTTGGTGAGAGACAACCGGGTTGTGTATGGTGGTGGTGCTGCTGAAATTGCTTGCTCGCTTGCCGTCGAGGACGCGGCTGTCAAGGTGGGTTTCTCGATTATTTTGTCTGCAATTACATTCATACTGACCTGTGAACTTGACAGAGCCCTGGTATTGAGCAATATGCCATGCGTGCATTCGCTGATGCATTGGATGCTGTGCCATTGGCCTTAGCCGAGAACTCTGGTTTGAGCCCTATTGAGACCCTTGCCTCTATCAAGTCGCGCCAAGTCAAGGAGAACAACACTCGCCTGGGTGTGGACTGCATGGTGACTGGTAACAACGGTATGTCTTGTATTCTGACTACTATAACTCCTTATACTGACCAAATACCAGACATGAAAGAGCACTTTGCTATCGACCCATTGATCGGCAAGCGCCAACAGCTGTTGCTGGCCACCCAGCTGTGTCGTATGGTTCTTAAGGTATATAACCGCTCTTCCCGTTCTTCTATGGTTTCGACTAACCAGTTACTAGATCAACAACGTCATCATTTCCGGCGACGATGACCAAGACTTCTAGATTTCTTGTATACAGGTTCTGTGTCCCGGTGGCCAACTGCTGCTGAAAGGATGTTACAGTCATAAAGAATTCATATTTACATATATCTTGGTAATTCGTTTCTCATGCCGACAAAGCCCATCGATTACGGATCTCCCTGAAATGGGTTCCGTCGGAGGTTCAGGGGAAACCGGAGGAGTCGATCATCCGACTGCACGAGGCCTATATGTAGAAGACCCAATTAAAACGAACGATTGATATACTCTATCTAATGTAGCCTAGAGTACACGGGTGCTTGAGTGCTTTATGAGTGCTTTTCTATCTATATGTGGCGAACGCTGGCCATATATCGGAGGTTCGCTAGTCGGACTAACGTTATCCCTTTGATCCGACCTATCAGATCTCATCACTCCCAGCGGGCACATCACGTGCAATGGGATCGACCACTAATGGCATCAAGTGGGTGGTTCAACAGGAACTCTTGAAGGAGAAGCCCACAGATTATGCTGTATTCAGCAACGTCCAGCCCGGCTTCGTTGGTAGTGCAGCCGATAACCATGAGCTTATCGGTAGCAAAGGGGCCAGTATTACATACGAGCAGGCATCCCGTCGCATGGTAGTCAAGTTGCCTAGTGGTCTCCATAAGACCGCGGAGTGCAATCTCTCGGGATTAATCGAATTCGATAGACACTTGGTGGGTCTCAGTGGGGAACTCAAGCTAATTGGGATGAAAAGGGTAGCGAAGGTCAGGTCTGCAAAGAGCTAGACTCATGCTGGCAGCCTGGTGTCAACCGTTTGCCTCCCAAGCGAATTTCGAAATGGCTGACAATTGTCGTCGACAGTGGGTGGACAGAGACTTTCCGGCATCTACGGTCAGATGCTAGGCTTTAGATCGAACTCTTTCAAGGTTATGTGAGGGCCGTAGTTCTCATCCCCATAAAAAGGCTACTAGACCAACTGACTTTCGAAAACGGGTCCCAACCAGCGTTTCGTCAGGTCAGGGGAGCACTCGCATAAAAACAACATACTCGAAGGTTGTTGACGTGAGGTGCAGAGCGAATAATCAGATGATTGTCACCTAAGGCCCGCTGACAATCTCAGTTCAGAAGATGACGCTGTGTGAACCCCAATCTGACCTTGAGGGTGACTTCGTTGTGGATATATAAAGGCTTCTATATATAGCAAATTTTACTTAGGATGAGAAGTTGTTGAAAGAACGGGAATGGCAAGCAGAGAAAGAAGGCGTCGGCGAGGACGGGAGATAGTTGAGGTCGAGGAGGGCGCTAATTGAGAAAGATTTTATCAGTGTTCTTTCTTTTTTTCTCCTTTTCTCTATTCTTTACTTCATCTGCGGCGTGCCAATGGTAGATTCATATATTCGCATTAAAGCGATGAAAGAACAAGACAGCTTCATTAGTATCTAATTTGTAACATGCCTGACTATGATTGCATCGTTTTGATTGTTTTATCATGTTGAACTGGTTAAGAATAATAAAAAGATGAGTAATGTCCGTTGACAACGGTATCGAAGACTAGAAGGGTCGAAAACCGAAAAAGACCTGCTCACTGAGTAGTGGCCTGTCTGTCTATAATAGCAGGTCGCCCCATTTAGAGTCACAATGAGTGCAGTACATTTTTGATGCATCAAAAGCCCCTGAGTTATATCTCGGAACCTGCTCAACCATAAGTGTGAGAATATCGACTCGTCCAAGCCTTGAATCCCGAAATAACTAACAATGCTTCAACATCAGTACTGTCATCCTTTGCCAATATCCAATTTTGTTCCAATTTTCCACTAGTCCATCAATTTTGCGATCCTTCAGAGTCATATGCAGAACCTAAGGTATAACGGCGTGTACCTCAAGCAAGACAGGACTCGGGAACTTATAATGAGGATCATGATCAACGAAACTGACTTTCCCGGATTCTGGCAAGTATCTCAAGGAGATGACACTAGGATCACAATCTCTAATCCGATACGAATGTTTCTCAATCGCCTCCAAAGATACTAGACCTGCACAAAACTGAGATTGGAGGGATATACCCATTGTATTAGCATTACGCCACAAAGCAATATGTTCAGGACTCAAATCCAGGGAAGGAAAATAGCGCACCAGCGCTTCTCGGAACAACCCAGAGTGCGGCCCAGCAAGAATGCTCGAGATAATATGAACCACTCTCGAACAATTTAAGACTCCCTTGTATTTCAGACCATGGTAAGTCTGCTCGCAGTCAGGCATACCTGTTAGCAAGCATCTGAGACCATCGCGGGAGAGAAAGGCATTCTGAAGTTTTATTAGACGATTATTTCCTCCTTCATCTTCCATTTCGAGTTCCTCATAACGTGTTATTGGATACCCAATTCCACGTGGCATCACAACAAAAGGTGTTTGTGGTTGTGCGTACATGGGGGGCAGGAGAGTCATTAAGCGAAGGCTCGTCTGCTGTTGGTTGAAAATGAAGGAAAATATCACGTATTCTTTACAATTAGATATCCACAAACCTAAGATTAGTTGCTGCGGCTTCCTGGTTTTCCAGGGTTTCCTCAATCACGTGAAGTATATGCTGAGGTTAAACATATTTCTAATCCATAGTTGTGAGGCTTCATGTCTTTATCCGTCAAGGACTACTAACCAAACATATATCAACTTTATTCAAACAATAGCTAGCGTGAGAAGGCTAACATAGAGCGTTTGAGCTATGACAAGACTTTTGCGAAAGGAACAGGAACAGATGCAATGACACTTATATGGCACTTAAGTAAGTCCTAAGTCCGAGTCTGTAGGCCACTCAGGCATCACATATGCATCGGAACTATTTTCAGGAATATAATCAAACAACCCCACCTCATTGGTACCGGGAAACCCTTGAAGGCCCTCAAAGATGTCGTTTTTCCAGGAAGTACCTTGGAAGAAAATCTGCAATGAAGGGTCGATTTCGAAATTTGTCGGGTGCATGTCCGTGTCCTCGGGTGCTGTTGGTTGTTGCGTAGTTCCTGGATATGAATTCAACCCAAGGTCTGATGTATGGACAGGCAGATGCTGTGCTGGTTGAGATCGATCTCTGATTCTATTTAGGACTTCTAGACATCTTGCTGCGGCTTTGTTGTTTTGACTTAGATTAGCAAGGCAGTCGCATGCCTTGGAAAAGGAAGAAACCAATAATTCCTGATGAACTGCTGCCAGATCCGTGTCCGTGGGCTGACATGGTTTTAAATGATGAATACTAAGAACAATAGCTGCCTGAAAAAGAAAGTAAGTGGCATACCAGCTGAGACCAGTATGCAAGGCATCGGCTTGGTCAACGCAAAAGATCGTGATGCTCTGAACAGTTGTGAGTGCAGCGTTTTGGCACATTACAAATGCCTCTTCGATATCCTGTGGGAGTTTACACAAACGCTGAGTTCCCCACCAGAGCATCATTCGCAAGTTTTGCTCCTTCCAGCAGACTATTGCTCGCGGGCCACGGAACCACCTTGGAATGTCTTGGGATGTGAAATAGTCAGGTAAAGATAGTTTCCAGGCTTGGAGTTGATGGTCGAGCGAGCGTGAGATACCTGGGTTGAATGACTTCTCATTCGGAGCACCGACCACGTCACTGTAAACCATGTTTCCAATAGTTGCCAGACGTGCTTGTGCAATAATGGCCGAATAAGTGGTTGCTTTATCCATTGGTTCTGGAAGAGGCGAATTCATGGAACAGTCCTGGAAATTGACATCAATTATTGTCCCTTAGAACGGAAAATTGTTTTCACTTACGGAGTCGTCAATGTTACGAGGGTACCGAGTTTCGATGAAGGAGTTAGATATCGTGGTAGGTCTTCCGGTGGTGAGACTCAATCCACTGTCAAAGCAATAAATGATCCACCAGACAACCCTCCTTTGTTCGTGCATTAATGTGTTATTGCTCGTTACCGCAGGTGGCTCGCGATGTAGGCCAAGCCCAAGAGCCATCCTATATGCAATTCCAATGAAGTTGTACCCTGTGTTGGGCCTATTTCGCTTTTGAAGGTAGTTACCCTGTGTTCAAGTTAGTAAAGGAGAGCCGGACGAATGAATATGTCTGATTACAGCTTACCATAAGAAGAAAGGCTTGCACAGCGAGGAGAGTTCCTGACTCCAGCATACGCATTGACATGTGTGACCGTGCAGCGATGTAGAATCTTGACTGCTCTGTCTCCGGCCCGCCAGCAAGAATCCATTCCCCAATTGCTAAAACAATATGGAATATCAAATGCCATCTCGAGCAGGCGTCAATTTCTGCACGGCTCTGGTATTGCTGCCGAAATGTTTTCTCGTGTAGTATCGGGTATGACGGATTATAGAACATGAAATAGGAGTCAACTAAACTTTCTAGAACAGCTGCGTTGCTCAGGTTTGCCGATATTGATAGCTGATTGGTTGCACCGGTAGCCCGAGGCGAGTTCTCTGGGACAGGATACCCAGGAAGCAAGTTCGAGATAGTTCTTAGAAGATGGGACCCTGAACTATTTCCTAAAAACGCTATCAGAACAGGCCCCAAATTACGGTTTATATTGTATTACCAAGATATCCCGACCCTGTGGTTCTTGTCGGCAGTGATGCCATTCCATCTAAATCGTCTGTTTGCGAGGGTGAGGTCATCGAAGATTCGTTCCACTCAAACTTGTCTGTAGAAGGGGCATTTTCTCTTGCAGGCTCGGAACATCGTTGTACTTCAGGTGAAGAATCATTGCTATTGCCAGGCGTTTTCACTGTTCTCAAGGCTCTCTCAATGTCAACATCCGGGTTGAGCTTCTGCAACAGCCTTTCCAAATTGGCAGATCGATTTTCTAGTTCTTCCAAATTCCTACTTATTTTAGAGGTGAGATGATCCAAGGTAAAAAGAAGAACTAACTTCCTTGTTAAAGGCGTGCGAGGCGGTGGACGAGCAAAGACACATGATTTGTGATTTCGAGAGCAATATAGGCAAGGCAAAGTGCCCGAACACTTGGTCGTCTGTAAATGATCTATCGAAACAAAGCGCACTATCCAGGTAGCTTACCTTGCTTTTGCGTTTCTTTATGATATGCGAGCACCTTATTAGCTGATAGCCTTTCCATGCGCATCAAATCCACCCACCCTGCATTCTGTACACTGCGGACATCTGTCAACCGGATAAACGGGCCACAAGAGAAAGAGAAACCTACTACCCGGATCTCTGCGGGCCCTGAACCAACATTCGATGATTTCGGCATTGTGAGAGATGATCAGTCATCCGCAATAGAGTGTAAAAATGCAAGTTTGCAGTTACTGAGATATCATCATATGATCACGTGCGATTCAACCGGGCCACAGCCTTCCGAAAGCATAGTACCCCAGATCCAATTTTCTCCACCATGCGGGCGTGAGAAGTGGGGAAGAATTTACGGAATACATCAAGCCGGCCTTGGCTTGAGAATGGCATTGGGACTGCAGCGACTTTCTTGTCGAAGGTGGCTATGCATTGCCCTAATTGATGAGAAAATGGCTCTTGTCGTTTAATCTTAGATGGTACAAGTCTACCACGAGTTGAACACATATATGGCGAGTATGAAAAGGATTGTCTTCGTAAATGCGAGTCGAGTTTAAAGGCAATCATAAGATGTTACGTTTTGAATGCCGATCCCAACGACGGTAGATTCAATCCCCTTGGCTCTTCGGGTCATCAACACTTTGGACAACCACATTCGGCTTGATCAAATGCGTCCGTATATCCAAACCATTGGGAAGGTCGTTGTTCTCGACTCTCCGAACAGCATCCTCCCACGAACTCTCAATGCCGTTTGCAAGGTGTCGCCCAGCAACATGCTGTTTGGCTATTTCCGTGTCAACATCCACCAACGAAGTATAATCCACATGCTCAACAATTTCGGACAATGGAGCGATGTCACGAGACAAGTAGTTCCTTCAAGGATTATAAACAAGATATCTGGGGATACACAAATACCGTTTTCAAAAGGATCCCCTACCGCATGGTCAAATTGCGGCGCGTAAAACATTTCTTTCATATGTCCGTCTTGCTGAGATGGATGGTTTTGACCAATTGCAGTATCCCCGCTGCGTCGAAAGCCCAGTGTGCGCCGCGGTGCGTATACGCGTCTTGGCAATTTGGTAGTCAATCCAGAAATGCCTCTGAATAATAGAAGCCGTCCATCGGGAGCGTGATAGCGAGGGGCTTTGCGACTTGCGAATTAAGACGTCTAGCCACGGCTTTTGCAATTGTAGACTTTCCTGAGCCTGGAGGGCCGCTGAGAGCGATAATGACTTATTCTAAGGCGCATTTATCACTCTTCTGAAATTTTTATATATGAGACCCTGGTAGCAAAGCTCTCATAGACATGGCCCATGTTTGTGCACAGAAATGGATAATATCTTCTGCATTGAGTAGATTTGTCCCTTTCCCCTCTTTTTCTTCAGTTTAGGCTTCATAGCCATCGACAGTCAAATTATCCATTCTCCATCTTTTCTCATGTGGGTTATTTCCAGGTCTTCGCTAAGGTGGTCTGGCGCCTCCACATGCCATCGGGCCACTGTCAACCGTGGAGGATCTGCAGGTTGCACTTGCAGTAATCCGGGTACTCTTGTCCGCTTCACATGGTGAGCATCCCATCTTCGATCAACATCAACTTGTTATGTACTGAATGAGTGGGACTCGTAGACTGTCGGCTGGCTATGGCTTTGGCCTTTTTTAATTACTGGAAGTTCATGGCCATGCTTCAGGGAAGCATCCATGACTAGCAAACCGGATTTAAATTCTGCCCTGTTGCAAGTTAGACATTTCAAAGTATGGGGAGCTAGGCATTTTATTGTTCCTACTATTTAATCATTGGATGTGGTTGTTGACTTTGGACCTCCGCGTTACAACCATCGGAACAGAACCGGCCGACCAACTCGTCGATTACGTGTAACTGAGAGGATATTTGTCTTGTTTTCTTCCTTTTCTTTTCTTATCTCGTTATTTCCCTCTCTGCGGTGAATATTAATAACAAAGAACTATTTAAGTGAATGACGAACAGCCTTCGTCCTAGGGTTAGCTTCGGAATAGCAACACAGGAGGACTGTCGCGTGGTTACCTCCATTCTCTAAGTGAGTCTGCCATGCTATTATAAGATCCTACACTGTGCTGCGTTTCTCTCGCGATACAATCTTTCTCTCGAGCACAGCTTCAGTTAATCAAAAAGATAACGCAGAGCGAACAAAACATGGATTCAACCGCGAAAAACCCATCGTGCCTTCTCTATGGTCCGTTGGATGCTCGCTTTGAGGACCGACCAATTCCTGTTCTTTGGAATCCACACGATGTCATTGTTCGAATTGCCTATACCGGTGTTTGTGGAAGTGATGTGAGTAACCCCGGTATCGAAATCACTAGCAGACTCAGTGGCGCAACGCTGTCATGTCCCAGTCAATCTCGGCCTTACTAACATTTCTTCGACCAGGTTCATTTCTGGCTACAAGGGGGAATCCGGACCTTCGTGTCCGAAACTCAACCCCTAACAATGGGTCACGAAGCATCTGGGACTATATACGCAGTGGGCTCCGCGGTGACCTCCCTCCGTCCTGGGGACAAAGTTGCAATCGAACCCGGCTACCCATGCCGCCGTTGCCACCACTGCAAACACGGCCATTACAACCTCTGTCCAGAAATGAAATTTGCAGCCGATCCCCCCGTGCTACACGGGACACTTACCAAATACTTCATGCTCCCTGCTGACTTCTGTTACAAGGTGCCTGAGAGCATCAGTCTCATAGAGGCTGTTCTGATGGAGCCTTTAGCTGTTGCCATCCATGCTGTGCGCCAGGCAGATGTCAGACCTGGGAAGAGTGTTATTGTGTTTGGCGCTGGGACTGTTGGGCTGTTTTGTGCGACTGTTGCTAGGGAGTTTGGTGCTGCTGTGGTGGTTTCTGTGGATATCATAGAGCGCAAGCTTTCCTTCGCGCGGCGCTTTGTTGGTGAATCTGTGGGGAGAACGGTCCTTGCTGATTCATCTCTTAACCCCGAAGAGAACGCAGCCCGCTTGGTACAAGAGCATGGGTTAGGGGAGGGTGCTGATATTGCTATCGACGCATCTGGTGCTGAGATGTCAGTGCAAACAGCGTTATTCTCACTGCACAAGGGTGGAACTTATGCTCAGGTTGGTATGGGAAAGCGCAAAATTGAATTCCCAATATCGGAAATGTGTGAGAAGGAGATTACTGCTAAGGGTTGTTTCCGGTATGGAGCTGGAGACTTTGATTTGGGGGTGCATCTTGTGGGATCGGGGAAAGTGTCGTTGTCTGGACTGGTGACAAACATCTTTCCATTTGAGTCAGCTACTGAGGCGTGGGAAACGGCTAAGCGTGGGGAGGGGACGAAAACGTTGATTGAAGGGCCCAAGGATTGAACACGTGATTAACCGGCATGTACATTCTCTTGGTGAGGGTGATGAATATGATTGCTTATTGACATGCTATAATTGCGCTTCTATATATTGGCAAAGTATCGTGGTCTTTGCTTCTGTTCTTAATCGCACATGTCAAGATGGGATCTACGTTACACAACTATATCACTTAATATACATATATAGAGGCCGTACCGGCTACTCGGACAACCAGCCACACATGCTGCAATGTAGAGCTGCAAGTATCGTAAACCATACCGTACAGCGATATCAATAAATCAACAACACACTAAAGTACGTGCTATACGCATACAATAAACATGACTGACATCCCCTCACGTCCACGAGTCAAGGGGCTAACCGGGAACGCAGCCCAAAAGACAGAAAGTGACGAGTCGACTGATATGCATCTAGGATAGTAGATATATACATTGACTATGGCGTACTCCGTAGATAGTCTACAAACACGAAGCAGAAAACTGCTAGACTATGTACCGAGCATTGCATGAATACTAAGTTTGGATAGATCGGGATAATTTAGTGTGAACGGCGCGTATAGTTATACAGCGTGATCGAGTGATTGATCGATAACCATCGCTTTATTGCATGCTATTAACGCTTAGATTCAAATTCCAAAGCAGACAATGCCTACCATCAAGTGATCGCCCACGATCGACGCGGCGGTGGATATCGATATCCCTGAATAGAAGCAAACCATTTCTTGCATCCGCATACTGTACAGTACACCGTACAGCATCCATATGAGGTAAACCGCAGACGTACAAAATGTGAGGATATCCTTCGCTACCAAAGGATAATCACAAAAGTAGGACGGGGATCGGGTATTGTTATCGACGCATGATCATTCTCCGGAACAACAACGGATGCGTGAGCTTTCGCGCCGTTACCTGTCATTGAATCTGGGCGTTTGATTATTGTTCGCTATTGAAAACGTACGCCCCCTACAAGTAACCAAGGCCATTCCGGGTACATAGTTCGTCGGAAGATGAGTTTCCGGCTTGAAATACTGGACCAGTGTAATATCCGAGGACGGAAACTCCCAATGCGTCATGTGATGTTTTGCCTCGGCTCAGGGGCCCCGGTTTTTTTACCGGATGGGGATGTGTAAGTCCTCGTGACCAAACCTGGGGTTTTTGCCACTCTGGGGTTATCCGCAGACTATATCATACTGTGTTAAGCGAGTTATTTTTATGGGTTTGAACCCGGATAGATGGGCATGATTTCATTCCGGTCCATGGCTATGGCCATGGTTTTGTTGATCGTCACTGGTGTACTTGTATGTACTTGCATACAGACGTAGTCTGTACAGGTGATGAGATGGTGAAACATGCTAGTAAGAGAGCGACGCATCGAAGGAAGCCGGTTAGTAGCAGAACTGCGAAACAAGATATAGCTCGTCTGACTACTCCGTACTCCGTACGGAGCACTGTGCTGAGTTATAATTAGTGAAGCATTGGTTGTATGCCTTCCGAGGGGGTAGTACTGGTACGCCAAACGGGGCAGTATACATCAAATGACCCTGTTTATGCATGTATTCTGTACGGGATGCGCTCTTGTACAAGCTCTAGCCCTAGTATGCGGCTTTTACAGTCTGGCCCCGGCGCGGCACGGAAAAGGGTCCTTTCTTCCCTTTGCCGCTTGCAGGGTATAACCAACAATGCATATCTGTACACAGCCTGACGTGGACTCACGCTCACATGAGCCCGGGAGCATGTAACTGTGCCACTTGCAGACTGACAGTCGGTTCCGGCGTGTTGGGAAACACGGAGCTGGGCATCTGCCATTGTTTGGCCCCGGATTGGAAACCGTAGCAGCGTTTGGCTCTTGTGACCATTGCCCGAGATTGGGCACAAAGGACTAACTACTCCTACTCCGTTTTCCGTTTCATCTTTTGACGGTCGAGGATATCCGCCAGGGATGAACCGGAAGACGTAACAAAGGGGCGGTAACGTGGGAGATGTTCGCATGATACAGACCAGATAAAAACGAACGTATCATTGCAGAAAAATGTCCCTAAATACCAGTGAGGATAAAGAATTGATCAACCAGATCGGAAGTCTGGCGGTGGTTCCCCGGGCCGGTCAGGTATGCAACGAGAAACGATTGGGACATGCCACACCGATCCAGGAGCATCACAAAAAGCAAAACCCCGGAAGATCCCTATTAAGGCCAACATGAGGAAGGGCCAAACAGGATAACAGGCTATCTCGACTATCGGAAAATTTGCAAGGTCATATGGCCGTCCCAATTCGGTAAGCAAACAATTACAGAAAGGGGCGGAAGTGGGAAGCATTTCCGGTGGAAGAAAAGGAAAAAAATTTTTTTCCCTCTGCAAAGCAACGTGACTCAAGACCGACAGTTCTCGAACTCCTAAGGAAAAAAAAGAAAGAAGAATCCGAAATCCGGTGGCCATATAGCAAACAGTTGAACAGAGCGCGGTGTCTTTTGTATCATCTAGTTGCAACAATTGCAACAGCAATGAAAAAAGAAAGTCAAAGTCAGCAGGACAAACCGTGTGGCGCACGACGGAAGCAAGCAGGGCCGCGAATCCCTTAATTTCTTCTTTTGTTGTTGATGAGAATTGATGTGATGATTATTGTTGCATGATGAGAATATAGAGTAGAAGGCAAGGCGGGCCTGACTGAAGTTGATCGCGGGCGCCAATCATTGGCGGGACCTGGTCAAGTGACGGATGAATTGTCCAAATCGCTGACTAAGGCGAGCGATAGGTCACAGGATCTGGATGATTGGTGTCTAGACCGCGACCATTCAGTTGGGCAGTCTATGCGAGCACCGAGTAACCGCTTGTTCTTCATGACATTATTGTATGAGAATCACCAGACTACTCTAAGAGACAACTCATCAATCACGGTACTCTATCATTAACCGCTGTCAGTTTGTACTTTTGTGGTTCACTCTTTTACTTGTATGTATGCTTCTATATGGCCGTATTCTGTATCAACATTTGTAGTGGAACCTCCGGAAACAGACCGGTAAAATTACTGACCCACCGCTGGGGTACAACTTCGGAAGTACGTAATTTATGACCAGTGAATTTTCAGGGCGGTAATAAAACGGACCATTCCAACCGGCTGAAATTCTGACCGCCATCATCCATCGTCCAATCAAAAAATTGAATCTGGAACCTGCTTTTTGGGACTCCCCTGTTCGCCCCTCGCAATTCCTGCTCCGATGGTATTCATTACATACGCTACCAACCCATACTACATTGTAATATATACCCATACATACATACTGTCTCCACTCCCTAATAACAGGTATTTCCTCCTTCTTCCGCTCCACCTTTTTTCTCTCTTTTTCGAGTCGTTCTTCTTCCGTTTCTCCTTCCCACCACCTACTCTCTCTCTTTTCTTCACCAGCCTACCTCATACGGCTTCAATCCTCTTACTCCGTCGATTCCACCCCTATCCCCATTCATCTCTCCTACCGTCGGTCGTTTCTACCTTTTCCGCATCCAACTTAGCAGAACGGGCGTGAAGAAAGACAAGGAACGAACCAACAATTTTGAAGGAAAGAGCAAGGACAAAGAAAATTGTCGAATTAGCTCAGGACTTAGGAAAGGGAAACCCTGACATCCAACGTGACCTACGAAAGCCCGTGGAAGGGATCAATTAGCGTTCTCTATACCTTGCTAGGTCTTCCGCACCATTGTGTTACTCTCACCCGGATTGAATTCGATATCTACGACGATCCCCGTTCATCCGTAACCGAATCTTTTCTTGGAAAGCACCCCATTGATCGGCTGCATTCATTGCACAGGCTTTGTTGCAGCTACGGCGCCAATTCCGTTCTATTTGATCGGTATTCTGCAGCGCATCCTGCAGACCAAAAGCTCAGGTCATCCGGTGGTATCCTCTACAAGTTCGCGGTGTACTCTCACCATCGTTACTCTAGCGCCGTACGACCGCACTCGGGGGAGACGGCGACCCCGAAATCGACGACAAGTTCTCGAACAAACGAAAAGGATCACGAGCGTTTAGAACCGTGGCTTCATCAGAAAGGACAATATGTTTCCTCGCTTGGCTACTCCGGTATTGACCGTGGATACGGAAAAGATCCACAAGGTAGATACGGCAAATGCGCAGAGTTTACATGGGATGTGGATGGGTAAGTTTATTGCTATCTTCTGTGCTACCTTTGATTAATCTGGGCTGACAATGTATCTCTTACGAAACAGTGTTCTCGAAATGTGCCGATTATATGGACCAAGGTCGTCGATTGGAAAACCTGAGTTGGAGATTATGGACGCGGGAAACATTTTGCGTTGACCCTGAAACCTCGAGTGAGGCGTCGGTATTGCCACTTCTCCGCTCCGAGGCAGGTGACCTGCCCGACCTTTCTTCCAGTGTCGAATCCGCGGCCTCGGACCAAGCGGAGAAAATCGAACACCACATCAAACGCCCCAAATGTGACTACAAGCCGGCAGTAGTTCGTGAAGATTCCATGCTTAACCTCGGTCGCGGAAAGGAGAAGCACATTACGTCTTCTGGCTTGGAACGAATGGTACTTAACATCAAAGAGAAGAAGGATCTTCAACCTATTCCTCCTACCATGACAGTATCGCCACCCATCGTTGACATTACTACACGCTCCTCTACAAGACTCTCCTCCCCCACTCCTACCCCGCCCTCGACCTGCACCGCAAAGGAAGTTCCAGTTCGTCCATCGTTGGTACGGAAACAACCCATCGACTCGACCGAGTCATGCTCGACCACTGCGCCCGAGAACAATGACAGCGATGTACCACAACAGGACGCCTCTGATACGAGCGTTTCTTCCTCTGGTATCATTCCGACCCGTCCCGGTCTGATCAAGTCTCCTAGCATCGTTCGTGGATTCTCTCCTTCGCAAATCTCCTCGTCATATCGCTCGCAGCCCAGGTTGGCTCCCGAACCCCGGAAAATGAGCACACCCGTACAACGCAGGCCATCCCCTCTGAAAAAGAAGGGTGGAATGTTCACACTGGGTGGTTCGTCTGGCGATGATGACGAAAGCTCCTTTGACGATCGTATGCTGGCCCAACAAACGCACCGCAGCTCTCTTTCGGATGAATTGAGCAAGCCTACAACCGTCGCTCCCAGTCCTATAAAGAAGGTGACTACATTCAAGGACCAAGTTGGCACGATCGACCCACCAAAGGACGACAGCCACGACAGCGATGAAGATGCGATCGAGACCGACGATGACGATATCTCCGAAAGTGCTATCGATGATGATGATGAAGACTCTGATTGGGAAGATTCAGTCACGGAAAGTGGACGATCCAGTGTGGAGGAGAACCGCATGTTCCAGCGTGTGGATTCTCGACCCAACCTTGTATCACGTCGCTCCATGCTCACCATGATGATGAATCATCCGAACAAGTTGCAAGGACCTGCTTTCCGTTCCAGCCCTGCTCTCCAACGACAGCGATCGCGTCTGACATGCCCCAATGGTCCGTCGTATCCCATTTCTCCGCCTGAAGATGGGGACGACTTGACAATGCGTGGTCCTGAAGTGCCGCGATCTAAGCCGATAATTGTGACACCCAATCCGCAATCAGTCGCCCATTCGCCGCGGACTACGCGCAGAAACATGCTTGCTACCGAGTTGACCGAATCTCTTCGACACCATCTCCTATGGGAGCGTCAGCAGAAGGGCGCAACAGCAAACGCCTTCTTGAAGCGACGACACACTGCCCATGATATGGCCAACCTGCAGGAGTATCCTGGAGCCAAAGGAGCTCGGGGACAGACCAACCAACATAAGGAGAAGGATCTATCGAAAGGCAATGGTTCCTATTCCAATTATACCGACTATGGACCGTGGGAATACCATGCCAAGGGATGGTAGAGACCTCGTTGCTTCTTCATTTCTCGACTTCATCTCCTCTTTTCATCTCTTTCATTCTTTCTTTTCACCGAGTCACGACTCGCACATGTGCCGCTTCGTTTTTCTGGATGGGTTAATGTGTTTCCTGACCTTGATACCCGATTCTTTACCGACTTTGCTTCACGTCTTTTCTCAGTGAAGACCACCGATAGAATACCCTTGTGACAGTTACGATCACGACGACTCTGCATAGCATCTTGGCGCACTTGAGGGATTTATTTTACGTTCATCTGTGGTCTTATTTCTTCGTTCGGTTTTTCTTTTTTTCATCTTCACACTGCATGGCCTCGGCTGTTTGTTTCTATGATCTGGGCTATTTAGAGGACCGCCTCTATGGAATTAATTATCTTGTACAGTTTTGTTTCTTCCCGGTTGCACGGCGATGGCGATTGGGCATTGGGTCATGGTGTGTTTGTTTTTCTTGTACTGAAAGTTTTTTTTCCGCCTTCAAAAATTTCTTTCTTCTGACGGCTACGACTATGCCTGTCATCGCTGCGACTAGGGACCCGGCCTTATTAGGCCACTAAAAATGCATATTTACTTTCTTTGTCGATTTCAGTTTTTGTTTTGATACCAGATACCAAACAGTTTGCGAGTTTTTGGTTCACATGTACCTTACTATCTCCACATCATCATAGAAAAGCATATAAAAAGTTCAAGATCATATGATGCCATGATTATCGAGTACACCGTAGTTTCAGGCCGGGATGCTTCCCCGGACCAGGATAGCTTGACAATGGAGGTGTTCTAGAATCGCACTGATCGCTTTGGTATGCAGGATGATGGGCTGGTTACTTTTATGCAGCCGTGGCTTGTTTATTGAAGAGTCATGTCTTGTGTGACATTTAAAGTCCAAATACTGGAAATGCGACCCGGGGGGAGGGGAAAGGTTCATGATGATGTCTGTTTATTCGGGTACACCGTTCTTGTACAGGTACTGTAGAGAATGCTGTACAATAAGCGACCTTCGCTCATTATTCGTCTTTGAGCAAAATGGAGGTAGTACTCCGTACAACCCTGCACATTCCACTGAGGCAATGTACATCAAACCCTCCACCATGATTGAATGAATACAACACCTTCCAAAACATTCTTACCTCTTCGAACCAATTCACCCCAGGTCTACTTGGGTAGAACCATTGACCCAAAACTTCGCCACCTCACGACAGTCATTACCCGTTTCGGCGACCAGATCGAGTATCCCCCGGCCGGGGATGCGGGAAAGATGGAAGATAAAAGATGCGCTTGAATTTGGTTCTCCGTTGTATAATCCGCCGGAGTTACGCCGCCGCCAAGTGACTTTCCATCCTTGTATGGGGTAATACAAAGTACCATGTTAGTCAATAGTCACCTGACCCAGCCAAAAACAAGGGTGTTATCCTATTTCTCCCGATACCCCAAACGTGCTGACCAATAGAATTTTGTGGATGAGGGTTGGGGGGAAAAGAAAAGTAATTATATGAGCTAATTGGTTGAACCCCACGTGCTGGAAGGCCTGTACAAAGAGAGGAAATTTGCGGCTCAGCTTGTGGGGTCAGAGGGGATGGTTGTGATTCGTTGGGGTTTTGTTTTTGGTTTTTGGGTTGGTTCTGTTTTACTGTACAGGTACCGGCTATTGAGTGTATAAAAGGTGTATTTGTATGTATATGTACTTGTACGGGTATGGACATTTACGGGTATGTACAAGTATAAGTACGCAGTGGATCAGTTCTGACACCCGCAGGAATTATGGGGCTTTGGGGATTTCGTAGATGAAGTCGATGGCGGGCTAGAGCTGAGCTGGTTTTGACCGTTGTTTGAATGGGAATTTTCGGTGATTTGTTGGCGTTTCTTTCTTTCCTTTTTTTGTAGGGGCGCGGGTATGTACCTTTTTCTGGCTGCGGAAGGCATACGTGTAATCCGTAGTTCTCTTAACCCTTCCATTGCACTTCATACATGATGGATGTTATTCTTTATTCTTCTTTTGGCTGTACAGGCTACGTACAGACTACGTATTATAATGGGTCGTCGTTGTCGGCATGACATATGCACGGAAAACTCCGACAGAATCTAAAATCGCCGACTGAGAGTCTCGGCATGCCGAGGACAGATTCTCGGGGCACACTGGGCCGGGATTATGTTGTTTTCCACGCGAAGAGTTTTCATTGTTTGCTTTTTTTTTTCTTTTTCTTTTTTTTTTTTTTTGTTCACTGTGTTTTGTTTTCGCTTCTCGTTAAAACTGCCAATATATCTTTGCGTAGGAAGTAAGTCAAATGCAGATATAGCATAACTCCAGCAGCATACCTTGTATATAGATAACACTTACCCCTACAAGTATGTTCTGTGCCCTTACACTACTCCACACATCCACCATAAAAATCTATCTTGATCCAAGCGTTCCAGCTCAGTCTGTCGTCACGGACCGCTGCAATCCGACGACTCGGGTGGATGCCGAGACAAACGGGCTTGTACAAATTGGTTCTAGCACTTGTTCATTGTGGAGCTTTGATGGGCAAGACCGATATCAACCATACGGAGTATTTCTTGCTCGGATTGGTATTGTGGTCTAGTTAAATAGGTTTGGGATGCGTGTTCTGGATCATTGGAGTACGTTGAGTTGGATACGTACTTGTAGTGCGGAGTATAGAATGTTGTTAACATGGATGGGAGTTGTACGAGATGTAAATGTACTCCGTACGGAGCAGAAGACACCATAGATAGACATACGAGTATGTGCATTGACAAAAGAGAACATATATGTGGTTCACTGTCACATGATTCATCACAAGCTCCATCAGACCTGACTATGTAGCTCTGTTGTGACATTGATTCAATATCTTGGCTGCATTGGCTTTTACCGACTACTCTATTGGATTAAATGTTCTTGTCAGTTGGGTTCTCGCCATGTTGGGTCAGTCATTGGAATTAATTAAACTTGGTGACTTGCGAAACAGAAAGCGATATTATGGGAGTACACTCATCATTCTCCATATCAAGCACGGAGTACTTCGAATACACTTAATCCAACGTTCTCTACCCCTGTACGCAGTACTCGCCTGACCGTAAGTAGGCATATCCGCGATTAACGACGACTTAGCATAACGCCAGCTTTGTACAACCAGCCGAAGTGAACATATTCTGACTCGTAGGCCGCCGTTTCGAGAAACATTCTAGAAATGCGCTTTTCCGGATGCAGCTAGGGCTTGTATTAACGTCCCTGGTAATACGTATCGTGTCATATGTAATTTACAATACCGTACGCGGATATAGAGTATCTTACAAAGTTCAGTACAAGTCTCAGAGTACTACTTGATACAAGGCCATAAATGGGTTTACGCTTTCTATAATCCAGCTCGTCGAAGTTAAGGCTTCGTTATAGAAACCGGATGAGACTTACAATTGCTGGACGTCATATTGACATCCGCCTGTGAATGCCGGAATGTGAACAGGCCGAGGAAGCATTCCCCGACTTTTGTACTTGTATTCCGCATTTTACTAAGAATTAACGTGTCCTTTGAGTTTCCCAAACTCATATATCCCGCTCTATTGGATTCAAGCTCAAGCTCAATTGAGCTCTCCCACGAATCCTTCAACCCCCATTGGCTTCTCAACACAAGACTCGAACAAAAAACCTGCTTTAGAAAATAAATCAATTTCGTAATTGCAGATTTCTGCGTAATAGCGGTAAGTAAAGTATTTCTAGAAACCTAGAAAAAAAAGTCTTCAGGTCCGGTGACCTCTTGAGGATCCCAAAGAAGAAAAAGCTTCCTGAATATTTTCGTGCGGTGGATCGAGGTTGCATTCCCGGTGAACGGCGCGGGGCATTTGGCGGGGAATCTTCGATGCCTTACCCTCAAGGCATATTTTCAGCCTTACCTCGTCGAATTGAATGCCTGTCGGAGCACTATGTTCCATAAATATTCTGGAGGTCTTGCTGGAGTTTGATTAGTGCACTGCATGCCATACTCCGTACGAGGCACATATGACATGACATCTCCGGTTTATTCAGCATATGCTCGCTATGATTCATATTATTAACAGATCGCCACCAAAGCCGAGCATTGAAAGACAATTCCCCATACATCCCCATAGAATGCTAAGGAATGAATATGTATCATGTTCCACTCCGACTCACACTGAGTCGTCGTGACTCAGGGTGGCGTCGACTATCCTTCAACTGTCATTTCCCTTTCTGGCACTCTAGTCACGTGGCAACCCGACCGCCAACGACCACATCCGTAAATTGTATATAGAAACCATATTGGCCACTGGCTACATAACGCAATTATCACCATTACCGTGTCTCTATTAGAAAACCCCTTGCTATTCTCCTGCATTTAGCACCTGTATACACTGCGGGAAATTGGATCTGGTCACCAGATCTCTGAGTTGGCAATTCGATCAACTGGGATCTATTCCTGCCCGAGCTTGTCGCCCATCCAGACGAACAAGTCAGCGTTGGTAATCACTATTATCAGCAGGTCCCCTTTTTTACGCGCCGCACCTGCCGGGTAAATAATATGTTCCTATTGCTTCGCGTGATTGTGCTGGTTGGTTACTGACCGCCTCTCAGGAATCGGTCCATGACCCCGGATTCGGCTAACGAGCCGGTTGATAACGAGATATATATTGAAAGTATGCTTGAGGGTAAGCCATGAAGTCACTATCAATGCCGGGGAAGTCATTTCGAGGATCACGCTGCCTGCACGACATCTGTCATATTTCCTGCTGCAAGTGCGCAGCTATGACAAAAGTTCGCCCTCCATGTCACCGTATTCCAGACCCAGGGCTTGTCGATCGACGCATGGTCCGTCGTCTGGCTGGCTCGATGTCCGTCATCGCGCAGATGTCGGGCGGCTGCTGTGGTCCAGGTGCCGTGCCCGCATTATCTTCAGGCAGCTCAGCTCGTGTCTCTTTCTAAACCTGACAACCCGGCCCGCAACCTTGATCACACGGTCATGCTGATATTTATGGCGCAGGTCAACAGCCCCCGAGAGTGGGTGCTGAGTTGGCAGCCGCTCAGCCTCCGGCTACTGCAGCGCCTAATGCTCAGCAAGCACCTGCGAAAAAGCAGAAGTGCCGCTTTTTCACTTCCCGGAAAGGTAGTTACAATCCATTTGCGGTATCTTGCCGCACCGCTGTTTTGACTTTATGTAATTCCCTATTTATATTATTTTGGCCATCGATTACGGTATCTTGCATATACGGTCTGGTTTTTACAACACTGTATCAGGGCTGGACCAATCCAAGAAACGACATGCAGGACTACTCGTTTTGCTATTTGTTCCTTTTGATTGCCTGGTTTTGAAGATTTCCGCATGATATCGTCATTCTCCCGGATCGCCATTTGCCTTTATTTCCATGTTTCGTTGCTGACACTCGTTAAGGATGCCGGTCTGGCAATGCCTGTCGTTATCTCCATGATACTTCCGCGCTCGAGCAAACCCGTTCACCGCCGGATGCCATCGATCAAGCCAATGGCGCATCCCAGAGAGAAGACCCTGTACAGGGTGTAGCCACCGACCTAGGAAACCTGTCCATGAATAGGCCACGGCCAGTCTCCAAGCCGCCAGTCATTTCGAATCCCGCGCCTGCTCAAAGACCAGTCTCCACAGCTGAGAGCCAAAATCCACGGGAGTTCCAGATCAACCAATTACGTCGTCGTTTCCGTCCAAAGGAGACCAATGATGGCTCCGGGACGACACTGGAGCTGGAACTGGCCCCTTCAGACCCTGATTTCCCCTTTGAGATGGACAAGCTGCAATGTACCCTATACGTTCCGCAATCGTATCCCGGACAAGGAAGACCCAAGCTCAATGTTACTAATACCGACATGGACAAAGCTTTTCAAGATAATGTGGCAAGAGGTTTTGACGACATCGTAGATACGTCGATGCGGATGAATAACCGGGGAACGTTACTTGGTTGGATGAACAGTCTTGACCGTCAATTGGAGCGTCTACTCACGACAATAGAAAGAGGTCCCACGATCAAGTTCGTTGCGAATGTTGGCAGCAGGGAGGCGCCAGAGAGCCAAGCACCAGCACAAGAACAGCAGAAGGTTACCCATGTCTCCGAACAAATTCGTTCTGCTCCAAGATCGCAACCAGTTGCTGCACCGGCGCGTGTATTTACTGTAGAGGAGAAAGCGCAGGCTGAGAAGAGACGGGCAACTGAGACCAAACAGCTGGATGCCCGTCTTGGTAGACTGCCCTTATTCCAGAAATCTGGAGATGGATGTTCTTTCACCGTGCCCGTTCAACCGACCAAGGCAGATAGGCTTCCTGCTTCGCTTCGGTCGATCAAGACGGTGAAACTCGGAGTACCACAATTGTATCCTTTGGAGCCTAGTACGGTTAAACTACTAGGAGTCAACGGTCCTGAAGTTCAATCTGTTGAAGTTGGTTTCGCGCAATGGATTAGGGAGAACAGCCAGCTCAACTTGATGTCACAAGTCAACTATTTGACCAGCAATATGCACAACCTTGCAAAGACACCACTCGAAACGAAATCTGCTCCAACCTCAGTCGAGAAGCCAGCACAAGTCGAACTCTCACAGCAACCACAGACTTCAGGAACGGAGCCTACAGCTGGATTAGAAGATAAACCTCACGTCCATGTTATCCCACGACCTCCGGAATGGTCGATTCCTAAAGTCGAGGGTGACGACGAGGAAGATTCTAGTGGTCTTACCGATTCTGAAGAGTATACCGAGGATGAAGAAGACGGGGGTGCTCCCGTCACGATTTCAGAGCTTAGCACGGCGGAACGTGGTGTTGCACTATCGTTCCCGTTCTTGGAGCTTTATGGGATCGAGCTTCTGGAACTGGTAGGTCTTTATATTACAATACGATGCGAGCGGTGCAAGGAGACGCTTGATGTAAAGAACATCCCCCAGGCGAAGAATAATAGCGACGCGTACACTCCTAAGGCTGAAACATGCAAGAAGTGTGCTAATGCGATGAGTGTTGGTGAGTTGACTGGATAGTCTGGGTATGGTGACATGACAACATAACTGATCGACGATACCTCCCAGGATTTCGACGACAACTCATGCATCCTCATTCGAACCGTGCAGGATACCTCGACCTGGATGGATGTACCGTGGTTGATCTACTCCCCAGGTACAATCCCTCTTTTGACTCCCTGCAACGCTTCAGTAGCTGATAGATTTCCCTCTAGCAACTTTGTCCCAACCTGTGCGGAATGCTCCACAACGTTCCCTGCGCCAGGTATTGCCTCAGTTCGTGGCGAGAGCTCGACTGCTATGTGTCGTGAATGTCATCGGAAAATGGGTATGCATCGTTGATCTTACTTTCCGCATATTGTTCTCTGACAGCCGGACAGTGATGAAGATACCCGAGGTGAAATTTTTGAGAATAGCGTCTGCTGCAGGTAAGCACGCTTGTTGCAACATCGGATGGAATGGATGCTAATGGTCTTAGTTACTTCCCGCGACCGTGCCCCGCGACGAAAGGTTCGTACTTTGCATGTATCATATATGGGAAAGATGGCTAACGTAAACAGCCCAAGGAGGTCCTTGGTATCGTTGCTGGTCAGGAATTACCCCGACGTGGCCGCTGTACGCATTATGCGAAGAGTTATCGTTGGTTCCGGTGAGTGCCTAACCTCCATTTGACATTGTCGCGTACAGTTGCTTACAATAAACAGATTCAGTTGCTGTGCAAAGGTCTTCCCTTGCGACAAGTACGCACATATCCACAACTCTTCCCTCCCCCAACGAATGCATACTAACAACCTCAGATGCCACGACGCAGAAACAGACCACCCTAACGAACATGCAAACCGCATGCTCTGGTAAGCCACCCCCACCCCCAAATATCAACCAGTCACCAGAGATCGAACATAGCTAACAAAATCAGCGGCTTCTGCTCCCGCGAACAAATCTACCGCCCCGAGAACTGCGGAATATGCCACGCTATCCTCATTGGGAAAGCAGGAAGTGGATTCTGGGAGGGTGGTAAAGGGACTCGGAATCGGGTGTTGATGAGTCGGAAGGGTGAGCACTTGACTTCTTTTACTTTGACTTGTACTTGTTGGTTATGGGCTGCTGGCTAATTTGTCTAGATCCACGGAAGTTTAAGCGTCGTGGGGGTACGACGGCGAATGCATCGAAGAAGAAGTAGGCTTGTTGCACAGTGATAGTTCTGGTTGTGTGGTGGATATCTTTACGAGTGGACGAAGTATATGAACCGTAGCGCACTTCTATCTGTCTAGCATAATTACGAGCGAGATATTGACTGTGTACAAACCTTAGGCGAGCATAAAATCATCCTGCATGATTTCTTCATTCAGCGATAAAAAAGAAAGAAAGAAAAAGCACCACCAATCTATTCGGGACGCTCCCCCATCTAAGCTTACACGCCCAATTTTCATTAAGCACATACACGCTTAAACGGCCCATGAGCTCACAAAAGAAAATAATTGAAACCACGTTCACAAAATTTGAATTGCACCATAACAGCCACTGAACATGAGTAACCCCCAGTAGCCATGATAAAAGGTGGGAAATATATATCTTGGTGAAGATTTAAGATAAAAAAAAATTGACAAGGGTGGGGTTCGAACCCACGAGATCTTACGATCAGCAGAAACCTCAGATTATGTCTGACTTAAGTCTGCCGCCTTAACCACTCGGCCACCTTGCCACAGGTTCAGCTACGTCTTCGACTAAGAATATTATGATGTAAATTAATTGACTATCGATGATTCTTTTGACCACTATGCAAGCAATTTGTCTTCCTGAATAGTTTGATTTCAGTGAAAGATCTATTTTTCTGAGACACAATATATAGTGCAAGTAATACACCTGTGTGCTAGCCTGAGTAAGCCATCGAAAGATGTTGAATTGATATAACCATGTACACGCGAATCATAACTTCATATACGTTTCATACAAGAAAAGTAGAAAACTACACAAGGTTCCCACGCAGTTCCTGCTCCCGCTCAAGCGCCTCAAATAACGACCTGAAATTACCAGCTCCGAAACCAGAAAAGTTGTGTCGCTGAATGATCTCAATGAAGACAGTTGGACGGTCCATAAGATGCTACATATTGTTAGTATATCTATCTTCCAGTATCGACTTGGAGGTCTCACCTTCGTAAACAACTGCAACAAATACCCACCCTCATCAAAATCAATCAAAATATCCAAATCCCGAATCGTCTGGAAATCCTCCTCCAGAACAAGACCTGCCTTCTTAAGCCGTACCTGCACATCCTCATAATATGTGTCAGGGACCTTGATGAACTCAACGCCCCGCGCCTTGAGGTTTGTAATGTCGCGAATGATGTCATCCGTTAAAAGTGCAATGTGCTGGACGCCAGCGCCGTTGTAGAAGTCGACGTATTCTTCGATCTGGGATTTCTTCTTGCCCTTGGCGGGTTCGTTGATGGGCATTTTGACGATTTCGTTGGGGGAGGCCATGACTATACTTTTGAGGGCGGAGAATTCGCTGCATTCATTAGCTTAGTTCTCATGCTATAGGGAGGCATATACGCACGTGCAAACCTGGCTGTCATCGACGGACCAGAAACGGTGGAAGCCAAGGGCTTTTTCGTAACTGAATCCTGTTAGCTAGTATCCCAATTAGACAAACAGGATGACTTACTATTCACAAATCTCCTCCATCTCATCCCAATCCTGATTGCCCACACAATGATCAATCCTCTTCAAGAACACTCCCGGCAACAACCGCTCAACTGGATCCTCCACCCCCTTCTCCAACCGATACCCCGGCAAAAACGCCCCCTTATAATCCCCCCTCTCAAGCAACGTATGCGTAGTCTCCCCATACGTCTTTACCCTCGCAACCTTCACCGTACCCCCTTCATCCTTCAATACCTTAACCCCAGCTACAACTCCTGCCCCATTCTTCACCGCAGCCCCAAAAACACTCTCCACATCATCAACCTCAAACGCAACATCTTTCACTGCATCCCCGTGTTTCTCAAGATGTGCGTGGATCTCACGGAGTTGGTCTTGTTCCTCGGCCGTGAAGCGCTCGAGTTTCTCGAGCGAGCGGAGAGGCGAGGTTAGGATGAAGGTTATAGAGCCGTTGCGGATGACGTGCGAGCAGGTTACTCGGGAGCCGGTTTCAAGGCCGCGGTAGGCGATGCGTTGGAAGCCCATGCGGGTAGTGTAGTAGGAGGCGGCTTGTTTCGCGTTGCCGACGTACCAGTGGACATGGTCGTAGGCTTTGTAGGAGGCGAGAGGGGAGGTGGCGCTTGTTGGATTTGGATCTGGGAGGGCTGATGGTGCCATTTTGTTGTGTTCAGAGATTCGGGATTTGACTTGGGCTGATTAGCAAGGTGTGTTTGAATGTTGCTGGGGATGATTCTGGGGATGGCCAGTAGATGAGGTGGTATTTATAAACCATGGTTGACACGACTATCGTCCTGTCTTTGATTTCCTTTCTATGAAGTAGCCGCGACTGATTTGGAAACCATAGAAGCAATCGGGCAAGCCACCGGCAAACAAAGGATGGTGGCGGTTGTTAGCGGGTATTTTAGTGAAGCGGCAACTAACGGGTGTTTGCGATATCCGGTGCGGTTAGATGCGATGACGACAAAAACAGATGATATATATCCTATTTCCTTTATTATCCCTTCGAATTCCCATAAGCAAAACTTCTCTTGTGTGCCTGCTATACAAAGATATCAATGTGAAAATGCCGGCCCTGACAACCAACGACTCTGCCGTCCTGCACGCCCTCTTCGACGCCGAATCCTCCCCATCCTCAGCAATACAAATCGACTCCTCTCTCCCACCATTCCCCTCAAATCTTCAAATCACTCCCAAAGACCACGAATCTCTCAGAAACCGCGAAAAATTGATAATCAAGTCCCTCCAAACCGACAGTGTCTCACAAGAAACTATCTACTCCGCTATTACAGCCCTAGACGCGCTCATCGACGATCGTCCGAATTACCCGCCCGCCTACGCTAATAGAGCACAAGCGCTTCGGATGCTTGTTGAAGGACAATCAAGTCCAAGTGAGAAGCCGGAGATAACGGGCGATGTGATGTTTACGGATCCAGCGAACACAGTCATTGTCTCGCGCCTCTTTGCCGATTTGGAACAAGCGATTAATCTCTCCACGCCTACATCACCAGCAGACCCCGTATCCCCCGTTCAAGCGCGTATCCTAGCAGACGCGCATACACATCGCGGGTATCTACTGCTCAAAGCCGCTAGGGCGAGGAGGGATTCCAAGGTTCAAGGATCGGGGCAACTATGGGATTCGGGATCTGATCAGCTAGAGGAGATGGCGAGTAGAGATTTTTTTCTAGGAGGGAGGTATGGGAATAAGATTGCGCAGCAGATGGCGGTGCAGACGAATCCGTATGCGAAGATGTGTGGGGCTGTTGTGAAGGAGGCGATGAGGAAGGAGGTGCGATGAATTGACGATGTATTTTGTAGTTATCAGTGTATAAGCATGTTCCTGGATTCTGGCAATTGTATTTAGCTTGACACTCATAAATGTTATTGCTTTCACGATTTCTACTAAAACATTGCTATTGCTACATGAAAACATTAGATACACCTGCTCATGTCTTGCGAGGATCCTTGAAATGTCTCTTGAGTGGACGCCAGCTGTGGTCGTTGTACTCTTCTTGTACCTTTTCGCAAGTCTTCAGACCCCATTCCGACACACCAACCATGAGCGAGCTATATGGATACATTAGCAGGGAGCTCGAATAATGGGACTCGAATACGAAACTCACCTCTCAAACATGAACGCCATACTTCCCTCACCGATCTTCTGAGGCTTTAACTCCGCATTGCTCGCCCCCTCAAAGGCACTCATATCCGGGCCGTGAGCGCTCATGACATTGTGCAAACTGGCGCCAGCCGGCTGAAAGCCACCACCAGTCTTTGCGTCGTAATTTCCAGCAATCAGTCCCATGAATTCAGACATGGTGTTACGGTGGTACCATGGGGGACGGAAGGTGTCCTCTTGCACGAGCCAACGGGGAGGGAAGATCACAAAGTCCGCAATTGCTGTACCAACGTGGTCCGACGGGCCAGTGAGAACGGTGTAGATGGAAGGATCGGGGTGGTCGAATGAAACAGATCCAATGGTGTTGAATCGTCCCAAGTCGTACTTGTAGGGGTAGTAGTTCCCGTGCCAAGCGACAATGTCAAACGGGGAGTGGTCCTGGCGGGTGGAGAAGAGGGTGTTTGCGAATTTGCTGTACAGACGGAACTCCGACTCATCGTCTTCAAAGGAAGCCACAGGAGCCTGGAAGTCCCGTGCGTTGGCGAGACAGTTGGAGCCAATTGGACCCAGCTCTGGAAGCTGGTAGTGACCCTGATAGAGCTCGCAAATGTATCCTCGCACAGGACCATCGGGAAGAGTCACACGATACCTCACGCCACGAGGAATCACGCAGATCTCATTCGGACGGACCACCAGTCTTCCCAGCTCTGTCTGAATATCCAACACACCATGTTGGGGAACAATCAAGAAATCTCCATCAGCCGAGTAAAACGCCTCCTTGCCCATGTCCTTCCCAGCAGCATACAGCAGAATCCCAAGACCATGTTTCAGCGTGGGATCTCCTGCACCCGCCACAAGATGCAGCCCATGAACCCAGTCAACCTTCTCATCCAGATCAAACGGATTCCACCGCAGCTGGTTGGGGATGTGGTGCAGCTTGTGGGTTTCGGTTGTCATGCGCGTGTGATACGTGTCTGATTCCTCGGCCTTGAAGTTTTCGTGGGATGCGGCAGGAATGATTCTGTAGACCCAGGTTTGTTTATTCTCGTGTCGGGGAGCCGTAAAGGCTGTTCCGGAGAGCTTTTCGGCGTAGAGGCCATATGGCACTTTCTGGGGAGAATTATGGCCTATTGGGAGGGCGCCTTCGATGGCTTCGGTCCTATTAAGAGTTTGTTAGCCTTCTCATGTCTCCTTTCTGTGATCTTAATCGCATACTCATGATAAGAGTCGAAGCCGTTCTGGTACTTGTATGGATCTGGGTGTTTGAACTGAGTGACCGGCATTGTGGTGGTGGTGTTTCAAAAGCGATGTTCCTTGTGCACAGTTCTGAAAAGTCACTTCCAGGAAGGACAGGCTCAACTGGGCTCTCTGCAAAATATATTCATCATCCTCTCCCTTACACACACTATTGCGACTTCATCCGTCGCGACGGGAATTTTCATCCGCGTAAAGCAAGGTTGCGGGGAAGCCGCGGAATATAGCCGGTAATAAGCGGGGAGAGGGGGCGGACCTGATTCCGCAGTCACAGCATAACGGAAAATTGACCACGGCGCAAAGTGAAGGCGACACGGTTAGAGGAGATGACGAGGAAGGCAGAGGCTGGGATTAAGGAGGGGCAGTGTCTTTTTAATCGGTCTTCTTGTCGCTCTCCAAGTTCTTGAGATTTCCTCATAGATACCCTTTCTGACATTCAACTTATCTATATCGAAACAATGGCTTCGTGGCTCCAGATTCCCAAGAACTCGCCCTTTTCGCTGGCCAATATCCCCTTTGGCATTATCTCGTCGACCAAGGCATCTCCTCGCGTGCCCGCGATCGCAATTGGTGAGTATGCGTTGAATCTGAGCGCATTCGCCTCGTCCTCTGGCTTCTCGCAGCTCCCCGTGATCCAGCCTCATCTCAGCGTCTTCAGCGAGCCGACATTGAACGCCTTCGCCGCGCTTGGCCGTCCGGTACATCGCCAGGTCCGTGAATACCTTCAAGCCGTCTTCCGTGCCGACACACCATACCCTCAAGTCTTCAAAGACAATGCTACTCTGCAAAAAGAGGCACTTTTGCCTTTATCAGAGGTGACCAACCACGTCCCTATGCAAATCGGTGACTACACGGACTTCTACGCAGGTCTTAACCACGCCTACAATGTTGGCGTGCTGTTCCGTGGCCCAGAGAATGCTCTGCAGCCTAACTATACCCATCTCCCCGTCGCATACCACAGTCGCGCATCGTCTGTGATTGTTTCGGGCACACCGATCCACCGTCCCAATGGTCAGATCCTGACCAACCCAGCTGCCAATCCTAAGATTCCTACTTTCTCACCGTGCAAGAAGCTGGATATCGAACTGGAACTGGCCGCGTTCGTTAGCACGCCCAATGGCTTGGGCAAGCCAGTCCCCGTCAATGAAGCTGAGGACCATATCTTCGGTCTGGTGTTGATGAACGACTGGTCCGCCCGTGACATCCAGGCTTGGGAATACGTTCCCCTGGGACCCTTCAACGCTAAGAACTTTGCCACCACGATCACCCCCTGGGTTGTTCTTATCGACGCATTGGAACCCTTCCGCGCGCCGGGTCTCGAGCCAGGTGACCGTGAGGCGCTGTTGCCCTACCTCCGTGAGAAACGTGCCGTCAACGCCTTTAATATTCCCCTCGAAGTCGAGATCACACCCAAGGGCAGCAAGTCGACGATTATCTCGAAGAGCAACGCGCAGAATCTTCTGTACTCGTTCCCTCAGATGCTGACACACCACACCATTACGGGATGCAACATGAACACGGGTGATCTCCTTGGTAGTGGTACTATCTCTGGAAAGGAACCGCAGACGCAGGGTAGTATTCTGGAGCAGACGAATGGAAAGAACCCAATTAAGTTGTCTGATGGTTCCGAGCGTATTTTCTTGGAGGATGGTGATCGTGTTGTTCTGCGCGGTTCGGCTGGTGAGGAGGGAAGCTATGTGGGCTTTGGTGACTGTGAGGCTACTATTCTTCCTGCGTTGAAACTCGAGTTTTAGATGGCTTTTTCTCCGTTTCTCATTCTAGAATTGTGTTGCTGTACGAAAAAAGAAGAACATGACATGACAATGAATCTGAATCTGGATATTCGCATAGAATCCGAGTTATCAAAAGTCAACAAAATAGTCCCTATTTACACTATCTACTGTACTCTAAACTCCGCCGGCGTATCCTCTTGCGTCCTCCAATGCCCTCTCCTAACACCCTCTTCATCCTCCAACCTCTCTGCCACTCCCCGAATAGTCGGAAACTCCCCCATATCAACCCCAACCCTCTCCGCCCCCCAAACAGCCGGCACCAGACAAACATCCGCCATCGTAACACAATCCCCCACGCTGAACTTTCCAGCCGTCCTCTTCACAATCGCCTCGTACGCCCTGAATCCCTCGATAATAAGATCCTTCGACCACGCAGCCCGGTCCATACCAAGCGGCCCGACACGCTTCAGAATACGCAGGTTGGTGACGGGCTGTATGTCACAGGAGATTATGGATGCGAGGGTGCGGACTATCGCCCTTGCTTCGGGGTCGGAAGGCGGGGGGAGGAGAGAAGGTGTTTTAGAGGAGGAAGTGATTTCATCGAGGTATTCGAGGGCGGCGAGAGATTGGGTTATTGTGATGGTTTGTTTGGTGCCGTGCTCGATGATGAGTGATGGGACGGTGAGCGAGGGGTTTAACGTGCCGTAGGTGGGAGCGCGCTGCTCATCTTTTAGGAGGTTAATGGGAATGGAGGTGTAGGGGAGGGATTTGAGGTGTAGGGCGATGCGGAGGCGCGCTGAGCAGGAGGAGCGGAAGTAGGTGTAGAGGGTTATGTTCGTTATGTCGGTCATTTTGGTTTGTTTGTTTTTATGAGCTTGCTTGTGTAGATTTGTTTCTTTTTTCTTGTGGAGGGTGGTAGTTGGGTTTTAGATGTTGCTGTCTAGATATAGTGGTCTAGTACTGTAATGTATCCGTCTGGTTTCCCAATACGGCAGCGCGGGACTATTTCCGGGGGGAAAGGGGGGTTTGGGATACTCACTGGTCAGTACTGGCCACGCACTGGTCCTTTAAAGCTCACTTGGCAGTGTGGGAACTTGACATATGAGAGTATTATCATCGATATTGCTGAGCCATTTTGAGTATAAGTTGGTTCCAGTAGATATTCTCTTCTCGATAAACCATGCACTGTCACATACCCCGTTATGCAATATGACTTCTCATGGAAGGTACGCTGTAAATCCCATCTCCAACGGTACCTACAATCCCGACCTACTAGAAGCAAGAAGCCTCTTTGATAATAACAAAAGTCCACCTCTTCCCCTGGCCCAATGTCCGCTTCCACATGAACACCCATCCCTTCAACAACCCGGCTATGCAGAACCCGTCCGTGTCTTTCATAAGCAATCCAGCAATCCTTGGACAAGTTCTTAACATCGAAAACCACCTTCACGCCTTTGCCAGCCCATTCCTCAAGAGTGAGAATCATGGCACTAGCTGTGTCATCCCAAACACCTCTTAGACAGTTGAGTCCTTGAGAATAGTCTATACCATCCACCCATGGACGACTGGCCCGATCCTCCTTTTCCCATGGAAAATTCCATATCTTCTTTTTTCCATTCTCCGCGTTTAATCTGGCATACCCAATAGCTGCGTTACCTGTGAAAGGATCCATGTGCATCTACCGTCCTTCGAGGTCGGTTTGCTGGTCATTTCTGGGGTAGTAAAGACCTCCATTCTCCCACGTCGGCTGTAGATTTTTGATGGTGCATTCTAGAAGGCCATGTAGTGCAATGGTTTTACCGAGCTCTGACAGCCACTTGACAACATAGCCCAGGGTCGGCTCCTTGTATGGGAATTTAATGCTGCCCTTGTTCGCTCCGTAATATTCCTGAGCTTCCTGAAGAATTTTGTTATGGATCTGACGCATACTGCCGTTGTGCGACAATTGCCCGATATACGCTTGCTAACATAGGATGCTAGAGTTTGACTTCGCCAGCAATGTCGATGACGAACCCAAATGCGTGATTGTTGATTCCCGATCGGACGAATTCCGAGTTCCAAGTGTTCATGAACGCCGCAGCCCTCTTTGGCGTCAGTATGAGCGAAAATATAAATCCAAAGGATATCAAGGCTTATCATGCGGTAAAGCCGACGCTCTTGGCTGTTGCCGTGTATCCCTGCTTAACACACCCAATCCTTTTGCAAGTCATTGCGTGGAACCATATTCATCTTCTCCAACGCAGCTTGTATTTCCCGAGCACTCCGTCCAGTAAATTGGTCCCATTGCGGACATCGTTCAACGGGATAGCAATGATCTAGGTGCGTAAGTAATCCATCATTACCCAATGTGCCATGATATACGTACCGGAAACTGATTGCAAGCCACAAAAAATTGATTTGGCTCACAAAAACCAGCCCAGTCATTCCCTTCCATTCGACAATAATAGCATCCTGCAAGCTCCTATTATCATAGGCGAAAGTCTCGTCCCCCATTCCCCAGAACAGCGGATTCCAGTGAAAACTCAGACTCCCAGCCTGCTCAAACACATCACCACCAAACGGCATAGCATAGAGGCTGGTCATCAAGAGCAAATGTCCGCTGTACATGTTATTCTCGCGGGCAACCGGGTCTGCCCACGGCTTGCGAAGTTCACTCAAATCAGGGTCTACCCGAATCCCTGACGGAGGTGTGAGATACCAGTAACCCCACACTTCGCGTCTCAACATTTTGTTAATTAAGCGAGAAGGAGTGGTTTGAACAGGCCTTGCATAGCTAGAAGTCTATAGTAGTGTAAGAGCAGCTGCGTAGGCCATCGTCGCGAGTTGGTACCGGTAGGCGTCGAGGAACTCTTGTGCGGGGTCCTAGCTTCCCATATGCGGCCAGTCTCCATCGATGGCAGCGCTCAAATTGTGGACATGTCAGAGATGACCTGCTTGCTCTGTTGACAATTTGGAATACCTGGATATATCTAGAGGCAAGCTAGTATCGCTGGCACTGTCAGAGTCAATAGACGCCATGATGGTTTAAGGGGATGTTAAGGCGAAAGGTAGTTTAATAGGAATGTCTGGATTTGAGCGACGAGTTTATCAAGAGTAAGGCAGTCAGGACTGTTATATATCTTAATAGCCATTGAGACGGAGAAATTGAAGACCGTGTCAGATAATGGGGGGCGGAGATCACGGGCCGAATCAGATCTGATTCGGCCCCCAATCTCTCAGATGCCCGCTTTTTTCCAGAAATAATAACTATTCAACATGAAATGGAACCATGAGACTTCTCAACGCGAGGGGAAGCATAATGCAAGCATGTTAGCTAATCTATTACACGGCGGCTGACTATAGGACAACTGCTAGTTTCGCATGTATATACAAGATGGTACGAGGACGACCGATGCAGAAGCTCTGAATTAAACACCTAAATCTTGATCTTCTTCGTGCCAATCCTCTCTACCTCTCGAAAGTGAGGCACGTCCCCATCGACCCGTATGGGCCCAGACAGGCTGTGAAGAGATGGATTAGTACACATGGTACGGGTGCAAAGTAAAGTTTCACTTACGACTTAAGCGGGTATGGTAGGACAGAATTTGTCTTGGTGAACAGCAATAAGACTTGGCTCTGCGTGTTTTATTTGGGACTACTTTAGTGATGATACATTGAGCATTCAGTGCACGCACCTGAGTGCCCCACGGCCGGGGCAAAAGAACATTACAGGGCTTGAGGTATAAAAGCCGAGAGCGGACGCAAACACCGTAACGTGACCCGGCAATAGGCGTGCAATTTCCTTACCGGCTATACACAGGTACACTCCTAAAACGATCCATCATGCTTCTCTACTGGTCAATGTATACAGTTAATCGTTGTATCGGAGTGACGGTAGCTTTCTAAACGGGCGGAACACTTCCGCTGCTGGGCTACCCGACTCTGCATGGACGGATTTCCGCTTGTTTCCGTTTTCAAGATCTTGATTTGCCATCTTTTCGTTGCTGTTTTAAAATTATTCTAGAACCATTATTATCAGTTTTCTATTAAGAAAGCTGTAAGTCTGCGACTTAGAATGGGAACCTAAATCTACATGAATGCACATGATATATATCATAGCCGGTTAGTGACAATTTCTATGAAATGATACAATAGATGGAGACCTAAAAGAATGTTCACATGTCAATCGCATCAGTAGATATTAACTATCTGCGTTAATTTCAAACCATGGTCGCTAATTGGACCTGGATGTTAGGGCTACCCTCCACCGGGTGTTCTAAGCACCCGCTGTCGGCAATTAGCGGCTATTTCGTAACATCCGCCCCGCACCCCTTCCGGATATTTTGACACCATTCTACCATCTACGTCTTTCAGACTGGAACGCTACGTGACCTCATATCGCTCCAGAAAAACCAGACACGATCCTCTCAATGCCATTGGCCAACCCGTAACTAGCCGACATGGAAATCAGAAGGTCATCCCGTGGACAACACACCGTGGACCGGGTGTACCAGCGCACCTACAAAGCTTGTATCTCGTGTCGGAAACGCAAGGCTAAATGCGAACTGGGAACAGGAGAAGATGGTGCGATGATCGGGCCTCCGTGTGCGAGATGTCGGAGGGAGCAGAAGGAGTGTTTGTTTAGTGAGAAGAGGGCTTGGGAGAGGGGAAAAAAGAGACGTGGGTTGTTAGCTATCTCTGGTTTGACTGTGCTATATTTGTACTGATGTGGGTTTTATTTACTTAGATTTGGAGGATGGAGTGGGTACGCCTTCACCAAGGACACGAAGGAGGCGGTCAAATGATGTTAGTGACAGACACGACTCGTATGACAGGTCGGACTATGGACCTAGTCCAGAGAGCAATGCAGCTGTATTCACAGAGAACACCGGGAGTACCAATGAGAGCAGTAAAGATAAACAACAGCCTACATCCAGCCTTGGAAATTCAATGATGCGCACCGTTGTCGCCAGCGGAAACGATGCACTCAATATTCTGTTCGAGGCTGCTGCGGCTCATAGTCGTGGGAATGGCATGACCACAGGCTCTCAACCGGGAAATGATATACCGTCTGAGAGCAGAACCATCAGGAACGAAGACTCATTAGCAGGCGGCTACTCAGGTCCTTTTGAGAGTTCAACGAGAACAGTGTACCCCGTGGAAATCTCTCGGGTGTCAAAAGAGGTTCTTGATGTGTGGGAGTCATGTCGTTTTGTCAAAATGGGGTGGTTTACCTCCAGAGAAGCAGTAACATTTATCGATCTGTATGCCTCATTTTCATAAGATGTTGTTGGGATACAACTGACTGAATGGCGACAGGTTTTTCAAAAACATGTCTCTGTTATCCCCCATACTCACAGACTTCTACGCAAATCACGCAAATCACTATTGTCTCCTTACGCACGATCCAGTCTTGTGCTGCACAATCCTAATGGTGTCTGCTCGCTATCACGTATTACCAGGAGCAGGCGGCGAATCAAGAAACTTCTTTATCCACCACCGACTCTGGCAGCATTGCCAGCAACTAATCACACGCCTTATATTTGGCCAGGATAAATCCACCTCGTCAAAGATCCGCGGCATTGGAACCATCGAGGCACTATTATTGATGTCCGAATGGCATCCCCGTTCACTTCATTTCCCACCAGAAGTTGACGGTTGGGATTGTGATCTGATGACAGGAACCACTGAGTCTCACGCAAAAGCTGACGAGGAAAATACGCTATCTGCTGACAGGTGGTTAGAAGATATGATTGAGCCTGCTAGAAGGTCAGACCAAATGTCTTGGATGCTACTTGGATCTGCATTGTCCCTTGCACATGAACTCGGCATCTTTGAGGTTGGAGATAAGGAGCCGGGCTCCCCATCGGAGCCAGAAGGGCTCATGCCGAGTGGCCAGATGAAATTCCGCAGACAGCGTGTACAGCGCCTACTATATGTATATATTAATCAGTTAGCATGGAGAATAGGGTGTATATCGCTTATGCCGCAGAGCCTGAATCATGCGATCATAGGCGGGCAAGCGACGAGAAAGCTCAGCCAGTCTGGGGATGGATGGTTCATGTTCATGGACTCGTGGATGGATTTGACCAAGTTGGCCAAGTCGGTCACTGATACTTTCTTTCCTTCTGTTTCGTTTGCGAGACAGCAATTACACAGTGGTCGGTATATTGATCTACTAGACCATTTTCGCCCGTTGCTCACTCAGTGGATGGAGAGGTATCTCCGGCCTCAATGTGAGTACCCTGTTGATAGCGTGCTTCATGGAACATGGACTGACTACTAGTGCAGTGCTGGATAAACCATTCTTCAACATCCTCTTTATCGAATACCACTTTGTCCGTGTCTACACCCACTCAGTCGGAATGCAAGCTGTAGTAGAACGTGTTCTTGCAGACGGTGAACCCAATCTGGAAGAGGTGCGCCCTCTGAACATCGATTCCATCGATTACGAATATATCCAAGAAGTCATTGATGGCTGCTGCCAGATCCTACAGAAAGTCAGTCAGCTCGCAGAAACTGGGGCATTGCGGTTCTCTCCGGTCCGGACATTCCTGCGCATAACAAGCTCGTCTATATTTTTGATGAAGGCTCTAAGTTTGGGCGCGCGCCAAGCAAAACTCCGCGAGTCACTAGACATCCTCGAGAAGACCATCCAGGCGCTCAAATCAAACGCCCTGGATGATATCCACCTGAGTAGCCGCTATGCTACACTCCTGGACTTGCACGTCTCGCGCCTGCGACGCAACCTGCTGGTATCGTCGAAGGGCATGAAGAACAGCCGCGGCACTACCACAACATCTATCACAGGACCGCCTTCACAGCATGATAATGGAACAGGTATAAGCAACGCGACAATGGTGAACAGTACACCAATATCACAGGGCATGTCGGATATTAGCTTGATTCCATCGCTAAATGATATGGCTGCGGACGATTGGCTTTCGTTGCCGTTCGATCCGTCCATGGCTCCGTTTGGCATTAGTAGTGGTGGGCAGATACCGGCGCTTGAAGGTGGCGCATTGGACTTTATTTGGAACCTGCCATCATGACCATAGACTGTAAATAGCAGAAAAGTGACGAATTGCCATGATTGAAATGATTGGGGTTTTATATTTAGTCAGCATGAGTCACATGATATACCCCGGCCGAGGTCACGTTTTTCCCGCCGGAAGAGAAAAAGTTGTTGCGATCCGCAAACTCCATCGTGCCCACCTTCGGCCTCGTCGCCTGTCCAAAACATCGCCTCGCCGGCCTCGCAACAGTCTAGGAAAAACTCTCGACCTGTCCATTCCATCACCGGGACATACAAACCTCGCTTCCCGTGTTCCGCCGGACATTTTCGCTGTTCCGAAACCGCACATTTCCTTGAACGACCGGCTTCACGGCTACGTCGAATTAGCGACCTACCCCTCAATCCACTTCTCTACCTTTTTATTACGACTTTTAATACTTGGCTATGGATCACTCGAGAGATCCCTGCCCCTGGGTTGCCCTGAGCGACTTTGGTGGTGCTTTCTGTATGGGTGTATGTCTTTACCCGGATTCATGAAACATGCCCCATTGCACATCCGGATACTGATACTTTGTCTCGTTTAGGCAATTGGTGGTGCGGTCTGGCACGGTGTTAAAGGATTCAGAAACAGCCCCTACGGTGAGCGACGGATAGGCGCAATCACAGCCATCAAGGCACGAGCTCCCGTTCTCGGTGGTAACTTCGGTGTCTGGGGTGGTATGTTCTCGACATACGACTGTGCGATCAAGGGAATCCGGCGAAAAGAGGACGCCTATAATGCTAGTGCGTTTTCCCTCCTTTACAGACGAGTAGTGGATGGTGTCGGATGTTCGGAGAAATGGAAATCGTTCGTTTGGCTGACTGCTGGTTTGAACAGTTATCGCTGGTTTCTTCACTGGTGGTTCTTTGGCTATCCGTGGTGGCTACAAGGCTGCTAGAAACTCGGCTATCATGTGTGCTGTTTTCCTGGGTGTTATCGAGGGTGTTGGTATTGGTTTCCAGAGACTTATGGCAGACAACACAAAACTCGAGGTGAGACCCGGTTGCTAACGAAGAGCCAAGACAGGCGTGCTCTTGAACGGCTTGACTGACTTCTACCGATTTAGCTCCCCCCTCCGCCTCCGGCCGAAGGAAAGGCTGTCATCTAAACTCCCCCCCTAATATATCGATTCGAAGCGATGACCCTCTCGTCTCGCAATCTTCGATTTATACCTTGATACACTCTCATCTCTTCTCTCTTCACTGGTGTTGGGTCCCGGTTATTGCTGTTTGCTGCTTTTTTACAGGGAGCGTGGCATAGAGTTTTCCTTTCTGTCTTCGGCTTCCATTTATGTTATAACTACTCACTATTTTGACGGCGGTTTATGGATTTCACAGATTTTGCATTATGATTGTGTTGTGTTGCTGGGAAATCAAAAGCAGTTGTTCGGAGATGTCGGGGTGAATAGTCCATCGCCTGGGGCATTTTCCAATTTTGTACATTATCTTGCGGATTATCAGGTATAATGCGACATTGGATGCACTATATCTCACATTGTTTCCATGTAACACGGTAACCGAGTACTCGTTTATAGAACTGCAGAATGGGAGTTCTTCTGTCCGATGTTGACACAATTATGAACAATGAATGTCCGAAAGACGTCCACCGCCTCAGCCTCTATGCTCCATAGTTTGACAGCTGTATTTCCCAAAGAGGAAAAGCTCCTGATAAGCACGGACGACGTCATCCATACCCGAATGCACATCGCACGACACCGACATCCTATACCCCAGGGGTAATTTATGCCAGGAACATTTCTTCTTCTATAAAACTGCAGGTTCCCGCCTCCTGGAAATGCACAACCGAGCGCACTGACATATTACGCCTAATGCCCCTCTTCGTACCCAAGTATCTCTAGCCGCATACATCCGAAGACAAGTCTCCTTTAAATAAAAGCTCGCAGCAACATAAATACCCCTAATATCGACCTAGTAATCGACATGATGGCTAGTAAATCGGCACCACCGATTTTTAAACCAACTTTAATCCTCCACGGCGGCGCCGGCGATATCCACCGCTCCTCTCTACCTCCAGAACTCTATGAGAAGTACCACGCCTCATTACTATCCTATCTCCGCTCAACAAAAGATCTGTTGCACGATGGCGCGACCGCCCTAGACGCAGCCACCCATGCTGTCTCACTAATGGAAGATGATGAACTCTTCAACTGCGGCCGCGGAAGCGTGTTTACCTCCGCGGGGACGATTGAAATGGAAGCTTCGGTCATGGTTACCTCTGTTCGTGGCGACGACGATGAAAGACAAGAGAATATAAAAAGAGGAGCCGGAGTTATGGGACTCCGGAACGTGAGACATCCAATTCGCCTTGCGAGAGAATCGTTACTTCGCACGGGTTATGATGCGGACGGCAAGCCGATTGGGGATGGGGGGAGTATGCACATGCAGCTTGTGGCGCCGTATGTGGAAGACAGGGCTAGAGAGTGGGGATTGGAGATTATGCCTGATGAGTGGTTTTGGACGGAGAAGAGGTGGAAGGAACATCGGCGGGGATTGGAGGGGAAGGGTGAGGGTGAAAATGGGGCTGGGAATGAAGAAGATCAGGAATTGATATCCATGAACCAAGGCACAGTTGGTTGTGTGTGTCTTGATCAATGGGGGAATCTGGCTGTTGCGACGAGTACCGGAGGTCTCACGAATAAATGGCCTGGGAGGGTTGGTGATACACCGACTGTGGGTTCCGGGTTCTGGGCGGAGGCTTGGAATCTTAATTATCCATCATCTTCCTCAGAGGATGAGGAAGAGGATGTCTTGGATGAACAGGAGGCATTGGTTTCTCCAACATCGCCAAGTTCCCCGACCTGGGGTTTCAAGAATATCCGGTCTCTATTCTCTGAATGCACGCCGTCGTTCATCAACAAAAGAAATAGTGCATATACATCTATCTCAGCAGCCAATCCTGATAGCCAGGGGACCACTGACAACGACGAGAAGGGCTATTCCGACCAGGTCGAGTCACACGCTCGTACGGTAAGACGAGCAGTAGCTCTCTCAGGCACAGGGAACGGAGACTCCTTCCTCCGAATTGCAGCAGCTCGTACAGCAAGCGCCATGGCTCGCTTTTCACCACCCGCTTCTTCAACTACCCTTGCTCAAGCCATCAAAGCTATCGCAGGACCAGGTGGCGAGTTGCAATTATCTGCCGGAAAGCGATGGGGTGCAACTCACGAGGGAGAAGGTGGGATTATCGGGATTGAGGCGGAAGCAGAAGTCAATGCAGAATACCAAGGGCACCGGCTACGACATGGAAAGGTTATGTTTGATTTTAATTGTGGAGGAATGTGGAGGGCGTGGATTGAGGAGGATGAATATGGTGAGACTGAGAAGGTTATGGTGTTCAGGGATGAATGTCCTTGAATAGCGTAACGATTTAAGAGTTCAATATAAAAAAAAATTGAATGGGCATTGAATAAAAATGCAAAAGTAATTGAAATTTGACGGTTCAACAAAACAAAAAAGAGAACCACTGATATGTTCCGACACGGGGAATCGAACCCCGAGCTGCCGTGTGAGAGACGGCGATGTTAACCATTACACCATATCGGATGCTGCTTAACCAAGCGTTTCAATTTTAAAATAATCACCATTAATACTCTTTTGCCCGTAAGTTCACAATTTCGAATATACCAATCATAGCCCAATCACTAAGCTAGGCTGTATCTATGCCCTACCCCTACCTATAAGAGTTTTCACCGAAGAAAGTATTAGTCTGTAGCCCAAATTGGTAAGTCTTGCGTGAAAATTGATTGATTTAAACTACTTGTCACGAAGTACGGGCATTCACCAACAACGCGAGATGTTTGTATACTTTGTCCTCTTTGAATATAGGGCAAGAACCCCCTTCGCACGCTAGATAGCGCAGCGCTGGCAGGCACAGCTTCTTTCTTTCCTTCTCCATGTTAGTATTTCGACAGAGAGTCTACCAATGAATTTATATTGTTCGAGACTGTCACACTACTCTTGATTGGTTCTTAGTGAATCATAGTAGCCATTGGATCCGATTATTATATTGGAAGTTGGGATTACTGTTCTATCTCGGAACGAGTCATTCGCTTTTATACCTCCGCCGCTGAATTTCCATTATATAAAATATTTAATGAAGAGGAGCATGGTGTGTCAAGAGAAAACTCAGTATAAGTTGTGACGGTTAGCGGGGCGCCAGAAACGGCTCCCATTGAACCATCCTTCTGCCGAGCCCTACCGCCTGCCATCAATGGGAATATTATTGCCGTTTGTGGTATGGCGCCTACTGTATTAGGGATAGTGCTGCCTCATGCCGCTTTAGGCCGCTCACATGCCGCCTCAACACATCCGTTGCATCTATAAAAGCCCGACATCTCCCCCTCAAAGGACCACGCACTTTCTCTTCTCTTTTTCCCTCTCCTGTCTGCCTCGCCCGGTGCACTGCCCTCTTACCAAGATGCCGCGTTACCCGACAATTACCCTTTTCCAGTATGGCGCCGGAGTGGCCGACGGTCATCTGAACGATTGAGACATTGAGACCTTGTTACTGTCGCTTCATTGGAAATTGACCTATCCATATCACCCTCTGATGCTGTGCTGCTGCTTATGTTTGCAGTTATGGGCCTAATAGATCTGCCTCATCGCCGAAAGTGAGACTCCCCACGTTGACCCTGCCAAGCCCCGGAGGGCCTGTAGACTCACGCCCGCTTTGGCAAGCATCTTCTCGCGGTGGTGAACAAAGGTGAGGCCAGGATCTAGCCAAAAAGCAAGGTATCGTTCCGCAGTTTGAGATGCCGGCACCGTAGCGGTTGGAAGCACCAATGGGGTGAAGAGTGGCTCGATGGCAGGGCTATTCTTCGGTGGGTTCGGATTGATGAAGTGCACTAAGGCATACTTCTTTGGATCGGAAACTGATGCATGTTTGCTTGCCCATTGATCTGCATGGCGGCAGGCCTCATGCAGTTTCTCAATTGATTCCTCCTCCGTGCGTCCTTCGGCCATAAATGCCACATCGTCCACCCAACCGCTCGCTGTCACCCTCATCCCCTCTGCCTGCACGAGATCGGAATTGTAGATGAGGTAAAGGATCGGAGAGAGGGGGGAGCCCTGCGGGATACCGGTTGGAGTGGGAATGGTCTCGGAAATGCCCTCTGGCATGCCAATCTTGGTGCTTCTCCCGGTGAGGAAAGCACTGATTCATGGAACAGATGGCCTAACCTGCGTTTGCGGAGGTCGTGAAGCAGCCGTGCATGAGAGATGTTGTCGTACGCTCCGGAGACATCGAGCATAAGCATAGACAGGATCATGCCGCGGCTCCATGCCCCGTAGGCCCTTTCCATGGTAAGATGTATGGCATGATCTGTGGATATGCCCTTTCTTCCACCAAGGTGCATGTCTGGAAGCAAGCCCTCGGTTTCCACGGCGTAGCTGATCCTCCTTGCCACGATGGCCTTGAGGAACTTGCTGATGGTGTTGAGCAGAGCAACTGGTCTGTATGATTTAGCAAGTTAAAAGTCTCGCCTCCCGCCCTTCCGAAGCACCACCGTGATGGATTTCTGGAAATGGGAAGGATTGAGACCCCTGCCCTCAGACATGCGTTGTATAATTGGTGCAGCACATCAAGGATTACGGGGATCTCAATAAGGATGTGCCACAGTGAGTTTGGCCAGCCGTCATTGCCGGGGGCCTTGCTTCCAGGGGCAGACCTCTGCCTGGGCGATCTCATTTCGGGTGACCTCTGGAAACTCGACCTGATCCTCAGGATATATATAATCCTCGAGGTCAGACAGATCCACAGGTGGTGGCCGGGGGAAGAATGCTTCCTGAAAGGCTGCTGCCTTCTCTGCCACTGTTTCTGTATATCTGGGCCCTTGCTCGCCGAGCATCCTGATCCTTGGTGTCATGCCTTGATCATATACACCTTCTCTGCTCTTGGCCTATTTAGACATCCTCTACATGCCTACGGGACCCTGCTCGACCACTTCCTGCACCTTACGTCGGTGGCCCTGACGCAGAGCCTTCCGAATTGCCCTGGCCTTATTATTGCGGACTGCTTTATACCGGTCCTTGTCGTATTGATTGAGCGTTTTGGTGTATTGTCGTCGAAGCTTCCTCGTTTCCTTCATAAGGGCTCTGCATTCGGGGGTGAAATCGGGATTTGCCCAGGCTGAGGGAACTGCTTAGGGGGTGGATGCTTCCACCGCGCCGGAAATAACCTTAACCAGGGCCATACTCTCAATTTCAATGCGCATGGCATTTGCCTTTGAGAGGTCCCTACATGTCAGGTGTTCATTGATGAATTCAGTGAGCTTGTTCACGTCTGTGGCCTTCCAGTTCCGGCGTTTCGGTGGTTCATGGGCCGGCGTTTCGGTGGTTCATGGGCCGGCGTTTCCACATCGATCGTGGTAGTCACCGGGAAGTGGTCGGAATCGTGATCTTGGTTCATATCGACGCCACAGCCAACCAGCCGGTTGAGCAGGGACGTGGTCATGAAGATAAGGTCAATAACAGAGGACTGATCATTCCTCTGCCATGTCGGTTTTCCTACCTCCGTGGCCAGTTCCAGGCCATACTTTTCCATAACCTTAATCAGATCCTCCGCCCCCGACGACGCCCTCACACCCTCGCCACCCCATGCCGGGTGGTGCAGGTTAAGATCGCCCAAGACTACATGTTCGGCCTGTTCTCGCTTCCGCAGTTCCTCCGCCAGTTGTGCCACCACGCCATCCTTATCGTTATATATGTTGTGCACAAACAGGTCCGTCCACCCTTCTTGGTGGTTCCGGCGGACTTTGAGCAATTGGTAGTCCCTGGAAATGGTTTGGCAGGACCAGGTGGCAGGATCTATGTCTTTTGACACATACATGCACACCCTTGCCCTTTTATTGTCTGTTTCTGTCGCTTTCAGGTGAATAAGTCGGTGAGTTGCCTTATTGGGGTAGTGTGTGGTCCATGACTGCGGCTTTTCTTCCTTGCCAATCCGGAATGGCTCCTGAACCGCGATGATGGCTGCTTTCTGTGTGGTCTTGTCTCGTAGAAACGAGGCCATGACTTCATACCGTTTGTGTGCGTTGTATTGAATAATCCTAATATGTAGAAATTAGGGCAGAAAAACGGCTTTATAAAGTTTTATTAATCAACCAGAGAAAATTCAATTTACATGTTACTCACCTTGCGCAGTTGTAGACAATCAGAAGCTCATAGGAGGGACGCTAACTATATACAGTAAGTACAAGCGGCGTTAGGAAGCTATAGAGGGGCCTCGAATTCAAGAGGTAAACATCATACTACCAATCAATTACGAATTAGACTTAGTTTGATTACAGTTAAAACTACATATGACTCTATCGTTGCCAAACATAGGGCTTACTATGGGTCACCGAGTAGGGATTTTCGTACACCCTTTTCAGGATAATTACACACCCTCCCCACTAACGTAATCTATCACCGAGCTGGCCACATCCGCGACCACCTACTACTCATATTTGCAATTTATCCACAACCACAATCATGGCTGATAATTCAAAAGAAGATCGCATGAAACTAGCTCTAGAAGCCTTTAAAAAAGGCCTTTTTTCATCAAGAAATGCAGTAGCAAAGGCATATGATGTGTCTCTCTATCTTTAAGACCCAGGTCAAAGGAATCATATCCCGCAAGGTGTCACAGGCTGCGCCTGTAGAATAAATGATATGTTCTGAAGAATGATCGGAGTGGTTACCTGACTACCTACCCCGCATAACGTACTTTTGTACATAAAAGGCTGTCTGATCGGACATCCGTTCTTCTCTTCTTCTCTTCTTCAACGAAATCTCTTGTGCCTTAGCTAGTCATTAGCATTGGATTGCACACTAGGCGTATGGCTCGTCGAGAGCCAAATCGATCAATGGGCCCAGATATTGCAGATGTACCACAAACAAGTATGAAACCACACTGTGCGAGACCCTTAAGTTGTGTAAGAGTTTCAAAGAATCGAATTTCTCCCCGAGCTTCAGCAATCTTGTGTAGGTCGTCGACAACAAGGACAAATGTTTCCCTCTCAAGGTGCCCATTTGCAAGTATGTCAATTACTTGACTGGGCGCTGGTGGGTACCACCCAGTGTAAATATCCTTGACTGAAAACTTTTCACAGTCTGTTTCATCCTCCTGTAGGAGCTGCACAAGCATTCGAACGCCAATAGCCTTCCAAGGACATTCATCTGCTTGAAATTCCTTGAGGCTCACATGGAATACAAATGATTCCTTGAGTCGAGTGACCAGTTCATCATTTCTTTCTTCGAAAAATGTCCCATCAAAACATTTCTGTATGGTGTCACTGAATTCCGCTGCATTCCTTGATTTGCCGGTCCCAGAGCCCGACAGGAACAGGTAAATAGGAATGGTTAATTTATCGACAAATCCCTGTGTATAGTAATTGTAGTGTTGCTCTACCTCATCATGCAAAAGCCTTTTGAGCTCCGGGGACGGCTGATATTCGGATTGTGTTTCAGGAGAATTCAGAAGAATGTCTGAAGCCAGTGGCTGATAAGGTAATCTATGGATATGAATACTAACAAAAATGAAGGGGGCCTTGATGGGGCTCGATGGTATTTACCCGTAGTTGCAAACTCACTGCTGATATCCTTCCTTTCTGGCTTCTCGAAAATGACAATATCAACCTCCGGATCACTTGACTCAGGTTCAACTGATAGAAGAGATCTTGGAGAAAGCCGACAATCAGCCTTATTTGGAATAAACGTCGTATCTTTGTCCAGTAGATTCCCAAGGCGATAAAGAACCCATCGGTTAATATCCTGGTTCTGGAGTCCTTGGGTCTCTCGGATTCTCTTTTTCAAGCGATAGTAAGTGTCTTTGTTTACCATGCAATCTATAGGAAAACGTTTTTTAAGGTTGGAGTTGAATGCACAGAGCAACTGTTGAACTGATTGCGTCATCTTGAATTGATGGAAAGATGGAAGAGAAGTAGGAGTTGAAGGACATATCCGTAGGCAACGGCTCAGCTACACTCACCGCCTTACTGGTGGGGCTTGGCGTAGCTCTGCAAAAAAGGCTGAAATGGAATAATAGTCGGTCCGAGAATAGCGAGGTCTTGAAAAGCCCGTTTGGGCACTCGCAATAGGGGATCGAGCACTCGCCCCAGCTCATGTATGATTGGTAAGAGAACATACATTCATACTCGCCTTATTCATTTGGATTACTCCCTATAGCCCTCTATCCCCATATGGTGGTCTTGTACAGTCAGTAGGACGGTCAACTCGCTCACCCGACCCTGGGCAGAATCCCACGGCCAACAGGAATCTCACATAAACACAAGCAAGCAAACATTAGATAGGCCAATCATGTACTTCGGTGTTCTATCTCCAGCTAGCCTATCTATACGCAGGTATAAAAATCTTGGCATGTATTCTTTTCTTAGCGCCTCATTTCTCACGGAGTCGGTGTTCGCGGACAAGCAGCCCTGAAACCAAAACAAGTGCAGCACATGCTAGGCCCATGTCTTGTTCGTCCATGTTAGCATCGGCTCTGCCATTAAAGGTATTTGATCCTTACAGAATACTGCCTGAAAGCTTGCGATGTATGCAGGCAGCATGAGTCTTCGAAGCCTTTCGTTGGCATTTTGAACGAACCTGATGTCTTGCAATGCCCTCCGTACGATCTATTATTCTGTCAGTTATCTATCAACTTAAACGACGGAATGCTAACCTCTTTACAGTTGGTGTTTGTTTTGAAGGCCGTGAGCAATCCACGCCGTAGTGTGACTTGATGGACGGCGCTGGCCGCGCTGACACCAAGAACTCCCCCAATTAGGCCTCGAAATGGGACCGCAAGGACCGCAAACCAAACCGGACCAGACCGTTGTGGTCCGGTCTTTGGTGCGACACCTAAGGACCGCAGTGCGGTCCTTGGATTTTTAGGACCGCACCACAGTGGTCCAGTTAAGACCGGCGGTCCTACAAACAGGACAAACATAGAAATTCTGTGATATGCATATTTTATGCAAATCTATCTGTATTTTCAAGTATTTTGCTTACGGATTAGTTGAAATATTAGATGAATACTCATGTAGATATCATATAAGCAAATTTTAGATTAAAATGGGGGTTTTTTTT